TTTAATTGACTGTCTGTCTAGGTTTTATTTATGCGTCTTTTTTTTTCCATTTGTCTTTATCAAGGTGGTTATGCAACTATTCGATATTTGAATACAAAATTACAGTCAATGTTGAGTGAACAAGAAAAAATGGTACAAGAATGCAAAAAACAGTTGTATTATAATCATAATCGTGAAATATCTTTGAAAACAAGTAAGAACAAGCACATAGGTTCTAATGTTTTAGCTTTGACTTCAAATTTTCTTCATTAAAAAAAAATAGGTGCTGATATATTTTCACAAGTATGTATCGATCTTAATCGAACATTTCAATGTGAAACAATACTCCATCAACTATCGATCACATCTGAGTAAGTTATGGGGAATCGTTTTAAAGATCTAATAGTCACTGTGGAGAAACGATCATATAAATTAAATAATTGTTACTATTTTTAGTTCAACGACAAAACGTGAATTATGGGAACAACTTCGTAATGAATGTAAATTTTTTTCAAATAAACAATCATGAATTACCTCGTATAGAACAGATATTTTTTTTAGGTTTTTCTCGTTTAATTACGTATTGTTACAGTTCAAGTTTCATACTTTCATTAACTGAATTAGTTATAAGTGCACTAAGCGGAAGATTGTATTCTCAATCACAACAACAGACACCGTTATCAGTCACCACAACAAAATCGGCGTATGCAGAGGTAGACAGTCATCTACATATTGAGTAATATAAGAGAAAAAGTTTTGTACTTTTTAGTCATCACAAAATCATTTCATTTTATCACGCGACACGCAAATGGCGTGTCTTGATGTTATTCGTTATACTACAAAAGATGGTGAGTTGTGTTTCTTCTTATGATTGATTTCATAGAGACGATAATTTACTGGTGTTTAGGATTGAATCTATTGATTGAAGACGTTCGAAAAGCAACTCAATTGATTTTTTCACGGTTAGTCTTCTTGTTCGATTTTATATTTGAAATAAAAGACAATAATTGTTTATTTTGTATAGAATAACGTTACAACAAACACTCGATATTGAGGACTTGATATGGTATTGCAGTGAAATTCGTCATCATCTCGAGAGAAAGTCAACAGTCATTTATTCGAAACAACAACAAACTGGTGTTCATCCATTTATGAAATATGTTCGATCATTACCACCGTTAAGAAAACAGCCAATTCAAGTACCACAGTCAAACGAAACGGTGTCATTTTCATTAGCCAATATTGTATCAAACGTGAGTAACATATCAACTAACAGGTGTTACAAAAGTTCCTGGAAAAATGTCTCCTCATTTTTCTTCTGCAAAAACATGTTTTGGAAAATGAAAAGTAGCTATTCAGAATTTACATTTCAATAGCTTCTAACTGTACGTTTAAAAGATTTCTATTATAGGAATGCTCAAATAGGATATAGGACAAAAGGTTTAGAAGTTATCGTTATTTTGCGAACACTATGTTTCTATGTCAGAAAAAACATGATTTTTCAAAAAACGATGACTTTACATAACTTAAAAGGATGCTCAGTTTTCAATACGCAAAATAATTCCGGAGAGTCTGTTTTGTACAGAAAAGTCTACTCTGTAATCTCTTATGGAAACTATAGTTTGATCTCTCATTTTAATGCGGTTACTGTTGAAATCAAAAAGATATACAAGTTTCTTTTCTTTACAGACTACATGTTAGTGCCCTTCAAAGATGCACTTACTGCTCGAAGGTCACAAGTGACAGAAATTTTTTTGAACATACAGTTAGAAAGCTCTTGAAATGTAGATTCTGAATAGCTATTTTTCATTTTTCCAAAACGTGTTTTAGTAGAAGAATAACGAAGAGACATTTTTCCAGAAACTTTTGCAGCACCCGTTATTATTCTCTTGTTTAACAACTAACTTGTCTATCTTCATTATAGGCAACGTCATTTTTCACAACTCAAAAACAGCGTCCACCACCACCAACTCTATTCAATGTTCAACAACAATTTGAACTCGAGTATACCGAAATGATTGAAAGGTGGATGTTTGATAATAATTATTTTTATTTGCATAAACAAAAAAAACTTTTGTTACTTTATCTTCTAGTGAAACATTTCATCAAGTTTTAACTCAAGTCGTTGAGCAAAGTTTTTCTTCCATCTATGATGAATTTGCACGTGAAATAGCAACAGTGGCACCATCATCAACGAATACGGATTACAAGTAAGTTGTAGATAAGATGACTTAATCTACTCCACTTTTTCTAAACTCACTCATCATGTTTTCTATTTTTAGTATTGGTCATCAATTAAATCCTCAATTACCATTGGCAAAATTGATACCTATTTGTGACAAGATATATAAACAATTTTCAAGCAATCAAGAACAGTTAACCATACATTTTCAGGTTAGTATCGCTTGTTTTTGTTTCTCGAACAATAATTTCAATGTCACATATTATCATTTATTTAGAATTTAGCATGTCGAAAAGAATTACACGATTACACACGATATGTCTATGATTTGTTTTCAAATGAAACAGATCAATCACCTAGTCGAACAGCTTATTCTCTACTTCCAACACTACCTTCAACTACACAGTTCTATAATAGTAACTCAGGGTCTAATTTTGATTTAACAACATTAATCAGCCATTTCAATCGTTGACATAGTAAAATCGAGTGAGCATTTTGGGCTATACGTATACTACTATAGATTCTTCGTTTTTCGAAAACGTTGCACATTGATTTACAATTCTCTTGAATGAATCCGACATCGAGTACACATATCATTTAGTGTTACGCGTTTAGTAGAATGACATACAATGTATCTTATATTTGTAATGTTTTTCTTTTTTTCTTTTGTGTTTTATTGTACGTGTTTTTGATTGTGTATCTTTGTTTTTGATTTTTAATTAATATTCCGTATAAAAAAATCAAAAAAACAACAATCGTTTTTTTTTAATTTGACTTTTAAGTCAGGCATCTTAATAATATTTTGTATTGTTTTAGTACAAGATGTAGTGTTAAACGTTCATTATAGTTTAGCGATGTTGATAGCCACGTATATCATTCGATGATCACTCAACTGCATAGACACTGTCTTCACGCTCTTCATAGACTTTCAATAATCAATCATCTTCACTACTGTCGCCTGTTAGTTCAGATCCTAGAAGAAGTCTACATAATAGTGATAGCGTAGTAATAAGCAGATAAGAGCAAGTGTTATACTGAGAAAAGAGAAGGCAAAATCGAAATCTTCGTCTTATTCACCTTTTTCTATATATTTTGGTAGTATAATTAAATTTTAAGAAAAGAAACATTAGACAAGGTAGCATACACTTCAACATTAATTTTTATTGATTACTAGTATTTTTTTCATCTGTTCCTTTTTGTTTGTTAATTTGGAGGGTCAAACCTTCAGCTATCAATTCGATATCACTCTATTTAGACCGTTTTAAATAAAAAAGCATCTCATTTTTCCACGTTCGGCTACGATTGTAAACCAATATGAATGTTTATTGAGAATTTTTCAACATTTTGCTGTTTTTCTTAAATCTCATAGCTTCATTTCACGATCATTTCCGCATGTCATAACTTTTGACGATTTCGATTATAGCAAATATCACACACGTATCGAGGATGAACCGATTCGATTTGATAACTGTCTCTGAATACCACTACAAAATGATTCATTCTTCGTGTTTACTAATAACCTCTATTTTACTTTATTGTTCTCAAAAAGAGAGAAGAACATGGTTGGATAGACAAGTTAGAGTGGATCGTATTCTTATCCGACACTATTTATCGGTGTTGTAGTTATATTTGAGGATACCATCATTTCTTCGATGGCTAATGAATTAAGATCATCTCTTTTTGTTGCATTTGGACTTGATTGTTCCGATTGATTCTAAACTAAACATTTTCGAACGACTGAAGTTGCATTAGGCAAAGACCGAAGGACATAATTCATCTGTCTAGTTAGAGATCATCGCAAAAACATGTTTATCTGTTCATGCTGCTTGTATTTTCCGTATTTCTTCAGTACGATGGAGATAGATCGATTCGATAATGACCGATTTTCTTTATTATGTTTAACATAGTGTACCTAGAAAAGAGCAAAAAAGAGAAGAAATAGCAGAATATGACTCATCCTATAGTATCAGCAATGTAGAACATGGTTCGTAGGAAGAACATAGCATTTTTGATATCATAAATCATTAGTGTTTCTTTCTTGTTCACGCTCGTTTTTTAGGTCTAAGATGGGCACAATACATAATGGAAAGATTTTGTATGTATTTTTAGATTTTTCTCTTCTTAATTCTGTTAAATTATCACTACTGTAAGGCTAGTCGATCTTTTACGAACAGCATTATTTCTGGTTTCAAATTATTATAAAAAAAAATGTTAAGATTTTGTTGAGAGGATCATAGTTTTCACGTTTCAAGTTAAATGAAGATAAAATTCCTTTATTAGTCACTGGTTGATACTTCCTGAAGTGTTTTTCGAATTAATTATAACTAGAGTACGTATAATTGCACTAATATGAGTGTTCGAGATCGATTTTAAGAATTTTATATTCTTTTATCTATTATCGTCAATTTCTGAATCTTGCATTGAATATTATGAAACATAAATCGTTGTCTATATCGCTGTTTGCAATGTGTTAACGGATAATCGGTTTAGTTTCTATAATCATTCCAATGTGATGACTAATCAAACGAATACTGATAAATACATTTTCATTTTTTATTTCTTTATTCTTTGTGAATGTGCATGTCTCTAATTCTTTTCTTGATATTACTAATATTTCATGATGATGATGACTAAAAGTTAAGAGTATTTGATGTATTATGAGTGAGAATGTGTTAAAATTGTGTAGCTCCAAAAATAAAAATAAAAAACAAGCTAATTGGATGACAGTTATTTCCATTATTAGAATGATATCCTAAATAGAAACATGTGTGTATGAATTTTGTTTTAACTGACATGGTCATTCATTTATTACTGTTACTGTTTTTTTGTCATTCCTTAAGATGATATAAGACAATTATTGTCATTAATACCCATAAACTCCTACACACACACATACACACACGCCCATACACAGATGATTATACTGGATGATATTAAAGATCGTTTACATCTTAAAGTAAAGCTAAAACAATTTCGTGAAAAAAACAAAATCAAGCTAATTTTCTAACTGCATAACTAATACATACGCAGGATTTATTATTTCATACTTTTCTTTTTTAATGTATCTAATTGTTTGTGCGTTGTTGCTTTTTTTTTGAATATTTTCTGCTTTGTGTAATATCACATTTGTATTTTATGTATGAAATTGTCTCTCTTTAAAATCTTTTTTTTCAGTGTTTTTTCTCAGCAAAAATCCATTTTTTATCAATTGAACAATGTCAGATGTGTAAAAGTACAATTAAATCCATTTTTATGTAAAACGAGGCTACATAGTTGTGTAGACAAACGGTCAGATTTTTCGTCACAAGGTTCGAATCTTTTTAGACTTTGGAGAAAGATTAACATTTCGTAACTGTGTATCTATAGTATGATGATATTCGTAATGATGTCAATGGTATGGCAACGACGTGAGTGATCTGCTGACGTTATTAAGAACAAAATTTCTACCACACATTCCCACGTGGGAGTTCCAGACATGTTCAGATGTGTATTGATCTAAGAAAGATCATCGTTTTAAAGACAATTCTTGATAGAACATGCATACAAACACACATATATACAGTAAAGTTTGTTAAACACCGATTCATGCTCATGAACATTCTTTCAATTTCTATGTTTTACGTTTAAGATTTATTAGTTATTTTATTCTAAAAGTTCTAACTATGCGAACATATTGCTAAGACGAAAGCTAAATCGAAAGAAATTCCAATACCCGTTCTTTTTTATTTCAGATACTTTAATATGATGTATTTTAATTTGATTTTACTTTCAGATTTTGTGTATATGCGTGTATGATTTTAATAATTTATTTACTTTCTTAAGTTACTTTTTTTTTGTCTTTTCTTGGTTTCCAATAATGAAACAATGGTGAACGATCGAGATATACCTTTAGCCACCGCTGATAATAATAGCATTGATTATTCAGATGGGAGTTATAATCAAAATCAAAATAAATATCAACAAAATGGAAACTCATCTTCTTTAATCTGTGCAAATGAATTGTCACAAAATAACGGCATCACAACTCATCAAGATACTTCTGAAAATCCTAGTCATTCAAATAATGTAACTACAATTGCTACAATAACACCAGTGACAACAACCGATAGGATAACAACGACAGATGAAGATCTAACGAATGGTAATGCAATGGTTCAATTAAGTAATAATAATGAAATACAACAAAATGAAGAAGACGGCGGCAGAGAAGGAGGAGGAGAAAGTCAAGATGAATTTATAAGAATAACAGGTATGAGAAAATAGAAGATGTATTGATAATAATTCATTTCAAATACTATTTATTAATCAAACAATTGTCTCATTTTAGGTGCTCATCAAACATTAATTGAAGCTCAACAATATGAACGTGAAAAAAATTATCCATTAGCATTACAAGTTTATCGTATATGTGTTGATTTATTATTAGAAGAACTAATGTTTACAGAAGGTACAGATAAATCGAGAGTATTTCTAAGAGAAAAATGTACTGCTATTATGGACAAAGTTGATGAATTAAAAAAACTATTAGATCCAATTGAACTTGAACAACCATTATCATTAGAACATGAACGAGAACAACCATTATCATTAGAACATGAACGAGAACAACCATTATCATTAGAACATGAACATGCTCATGATGATAGAGAACAAATTGTCGATCACTTACAAACAATACAACTTGATCAAAAACAAAATAATGATCAACAGCAATAAACAGTTCATTACACGTTTAAAGTATTTAATTTTCTAATAAAAAACAAAAAAAGACTAATTAACTCTGTTATGACAATCAAATTCTTATTATTAAACGTGTAGTCTAACAGATAACTAGTAGATATTTATTATGATTACTAAAAAAAAGAGTTTAACTTCGTCGAAAATTACTTGACAAACATGATCAAAAGTTGAGTTTGATAGTCAGAAAAATTTAATTTATGTTCATTTTAAACTCGATATTTATCTGTATTTTTCTGCGCGTCACTAAAAAATAAAACGACAACTTTTTTTTTCTCCATTTCCGAATCTTTAATAATTTAGTTTGTATACGATTTTCTAAAACACTTTTTTCACTTCAAGCACTTGTCTGCGACTTTTGTGCTCCGAATGTTTTCTTTGTTTTCCCTTGCATGCGAATCACTCGCTCAAAATGTGTATGCAAAACAAACTGCTTTCAACAACGAATACTTAGAGATAAAAAGAAACGTGTTTTTTTTTTCTTTTTAATTATCGTTGTTTGCTTCTCTCTCTTTCTCAATTTACACATTCCGTCTCATTTTTTTCTTCTTTTGTATTAGTTAATTTATATGTAGTATGTAGAACCAAGTTTTTTTTTCCGTTGTATATGCGCATGTGTGTGGTTCTGTACTTCTGTTTTTTCTTTACTACAATATAGAATAAAACAACAAACAAAGACACACACACACACAAAATAAATCAGCAACAGAAAGAAGAGAGTAAACAACAAAAATGAAGAAGAGAAAATGATTTTACATACATAAAAACATAACTTAACATGTGAAATGTGGTTTTTCTTTCACGACCAAAATCTTACTGCCCGTCTAACTGTTGTTGAAAGACACTGTAAAATAACAAAAAAAGACAAAACGCAAGTTCTAGGTGAAATTAACCAATGAAAAGAAAAATCACGTCACTTCACTAAAGATAGTCCTAAAAGAAGATAACCAAATAATGGAAGGAAACTGAATGGATGAAAAACAACAACAGAAGAAAAATTAGCTGTCACATAAAAAAAAGGTTAAATTTTTGTTTGGCAAAAAAAAAAAGAAATGAAAAAAAAGCATGAGAAAGACATGTAATAACTGTTTTTCTGAAAATTTCTAATGTACAAAAAAAACCAAGGAAAGAAAAGGAAACAACAAATAAATATAAAATAATAGATATATTGTTTGTTCACAGTTCGGCGAATACGTGATCACCATTGTTATAAAGCATTTTGGACGGACATTCTCTATATAAGAAAAATAATAAGATGAATTTCTATCTTTTATTGATTATTACAATAACTTACCCATATTTCAATTACATCTGCTACCGTATGTCTTGGGCGCAATTTAAAAACATAATGAATGAATATTTTTGATAATTTTTCAAAAAATTCATGTCCTTCTACATAAAACATTTAGTCTGTATAGCTAGAACACACACACACACATACACACGCTAAAAATGCTCACCTGAATATTCCAATCTAGGTGGAAATGTATTGGCTATTGATAATATTTCTGGACAAGAAACCGGATAATTTTTTGATATTTTAAATTCTAATGGAGGTACAGTGGGCATGCCTTCTTCGATTAAGTAACATTTTAATAGAAGTCCATGCTCCGGACAAGATTTTGATACTGGTTTTAATTGACATCGATAAATACCCGCTGGTAGTTGTACTAATTCTTTTCTAATAATTGTTTCATATGTTTCTTGTTCTTCGGCAGAACGAATAGTATTCAAAGTTGAAAATGTATATTCACATGCATCATCCAATCGTGTTATTCTAAACAAAACAAAAAATATTTAAATAGTCACTTATATATCAAAATTAACAGTTCGAAAGTTTACTTATGTGGTATTCCATTAAGAACATCGGCCAATGGTTCAAGACATCGTTTAACGATAGTAATTCTTTCTTGACGATTCTTTGGAAGAAAATCTTGTATAGATTTAAAACATTCTTCAAATACGGTGGATGTTTGAGAAACAGTTTGTGCTGTTGTTACTGTGGTTGATCGTGATTGACCATCATTACTAATTATAGAATTACCAGTATTTGAACGAACATCCTTAAAAACAAAAATAAATAACAAAATGTTTTTGCTTCTTTCACTTTTTGACTTACTGAAAATCGATCAATAGCATCTTTTAAGTCTTTGGCTATTGCTAATGCTTCAGTTGATGGATTTTTAAGAAAATTCAAAACACGATTGTTAATTACTGTAACATATTTCAGTTTTTCGGCTTGACCTAAACACATTCCATGAGAAATTAACATGTATTTTCGTATAGTTTTATTTCTAATACCTACCTTCTTGTTGAAATTTTTCTATTAATGCAGTTATTTTTCCTAGTCTATCTTTTAAATGTTTGCAGTAAGTTTGTACATCATCATCTATCGTTATTGGACTATTAACTAAAGAAAAGAAAAGTTTTTTTAATAACAATTAGAATCAATATTATGTTTGATGAAAGAATTTTGCCTACTCGTATTTATAGGCGATGCTGACAATCCTGTTCTCATTGATGGTGATGAATAATTTAATAGTGGACTTTGACTGACTGCCCCTAGCGTATTCGATGGACTTTGATGCGGTGCAATAAGACGCTGTTGTTGTTGTGATGGAGATGATACATCAGCTTGAATACTAGAAAAAAAGAGAAAAATAAAAGAGAAAAACTAAATAAAAGTAGAATGAGAACGCGTACGATTGTTGCACAGATAATGGTAACAATTGATTTGTTAAGAGCATGGAGGGTGATGATTGCTGTTGTTGTTGAATTACGGGTGGGGGTGTATTTACGTCATTAATAGTTATAATTTGACCAGGCGTTGATGCACTAGAGATGGATACCAATTGGTTGCGTGTTCGTTGACCTTGTAACTAAGAATAAACGAAACGTACCATAAATATTCTATGCACTAAAGATCTAGATGATTCACATTCTAGCTTTCTTAAAATAGCGAATCGACGTCCTTACAATCTAGTCACACTTCTACTCATCAAAAATACTGTTTTTTGATGGATATTAATACATATGAAAATAGGCGCCGCTGTATATTAGCGCAAAAGATTATTGCATAATTTTAATCGTTGTACAGTTTGTAGTACAGTAACGTCAGGATTATGTTTACACTTTTCTGCAAAAATAAATTTCTTCTGTTCTGTTAGTCATCTATATAAGAATTTAGTTTATGTACTTTCAATTACCATGTTAAAAATCAATATTCAAGTGTTTATTTGCTGAAATCAGTTTAAAGATCATTTGTTATTTATCTTACTTGTTCTCGAAGTTGATTTTGTGGTTGTGTTGATTTCATTATATTATTACTAAGTAATCGTTGTAATACTAAATAAGAGAAAATATCATATAACTTTCTTATGTTTTAAATAAGTGCATTTCGAAAGTGTAAACTTACGTTGATCAGTGGATGATGTGTTTGGCTGTTGTTGTACTTGTACTTGAGTTATTGGATCTTGAATTTCTGATTGTTGAATGAGATTGGACGGTGTCGTATTTGTTCGCTGGACGGTCTGTGGATTTTGATTCAACTGTTGTTGTTGACGAAACTGTTGATGTTGTAATTGTAAACGTAATTGTTGTTGACGTTGAGCAGTTTGAATCTGTTGCTGAGAAGCTAAAAAAAGCGAATAGTGTAAGTTACGTAAATTATTACGTTAATTTAATCAACAGTTTAAACAGTAGAACCTCAATGAATGATATAAAAGAAATAATATACAAGTTCTACTTGTATAAGACCAATAAAAACTCAAGATATAATATTTTGTTAATTCTTAACGTGGCTATATAGTGTGTACCCTTTCGTAATGAGTACTCAAAATTAACCAGTATGAATACAGAATCTTTGAAGTAGATTGTAAGACATGATTTATTCCTTTAACATGTACACATATAAATTAACCATTTTTATATAAAAAATAAATTAAATATTTGTCTACTAACGATTGATTCATAAAGAATTGGATACTTTTGTTGTTTGTTTTTATTTTTCAGACACTGAAATAAACTTTGAAAAATCCCAGGCTCAAAATACAGACAGTTTTCTACTGTACAAAACATTCTCTATCCGATATTTACGTGTTTTTTGACCATTTGAAAAAATAATCCAGAGTAACAAACGAGAAAATAACATGAAAATTTTTATAACTTTTTAGCTTTCAAGTGATCTCTTTTGTAATGTTGAAAAACAGAGTGGGTTTTTCGATGAAAGATCAATTAAATGAAGATATCTTTTTACACAAAGTACCTGTAATCATTTTGACGTGTAAAGGACTGTCTATATTTATTTTGAAAAATATTGACTAGTGTTAAAAACAATCAGTCTACTATTTATAAGAGATTTAGACGAAATGGGTAGTTTTTAAATATGTTTTAATACACGTGTTAAGGACTAAACTACAGCCTCTCACTAACGTATTGTAAAGAATGGTTAGTTAATTATTTATATTACTTGTCCTTCACATTTTGGCTTTGATAAGAATGAACTTACGCATAGTTTGTCTCTGTTGTTGTTGTTGTTGTTGTTGCTGCTGCTGTTGTTGCTGCTGCTGTTGTTGTTGTTGCTGTTGTTGTTGTTGCTGTTGTTGTTGTTGTTGAGTATTAGAAGCCGGTAACATATTAGTATTTGGAATTTGTAATCGAATTTGATTTTGATTATTTTGATTATTCGATGTTGTTGGCATTAAAACTTGTTGTTGACTTAATTGTACATCATTACTCATTAATAACTGTGATAGTTGTTGGGAAGTTATTTGAGATTGTTGTGGAACAATAGTTTGTTGAATATACGTTGTTTGAGAAGGAGGAATTTGATTTTGTGCTTGCTGCTGTTGTAAATAAAACGACGAGTTGAAATTATTTGAAGAATTCTGTGCATTGTATAATATTTCTTGTTGTTGTTGCTGTTGTATTTGTTGTAATTGCTGTTGTTGCAGCTGTAATTGTTGTTGATTTTGTTGTTGTTGCTGTTGTAAAGTTCTCTGATAGACATTCATGTCTATCTGTTGGGAAGATGCCGATGATGGATGAGAATTATTAATAATCGTTGTCTGTCCGTTTTGTATTGATGCAGTTTGTTGACTGTGCTGCGATAACTGTTGATTTTGTTGTGTCTGATTGGCGATATTTGCATCTAAACGAAACACAGTCATGTGAAAAAAACAATAAGAATATAGGCAAAGAAAAAAAATAGATACTTTGTTGTTGCCGACTAATTACTTGTCTACAATAAATTTCAACTGCTTTAATATAATGAATCTAAAAGAAAGAACAATAATTAACTTAAAATGTACACATTTTCATTCATTTTCAAACTACGAACTTTGATTCCTTTTGATTTTTCAAATGAAGCTAGTTCTATACGTGTCGCTATATCTGCGCCAAATCGAGCTATTCTAAAAAACAAAAAGAACAATAATTATCACTGTGTGTATTTTAATAAATATTAGTCTAATGCATACAATTTTTGTACGAGTGATTCTCTTTCCGCTGGTGAGATTAAAACAATATTTTGAGATTGAGCTTGTTGTTGCAGTTGTAACTGCTGTTGTTGTTGCTGAGATTCAACACCATCCATTGTATATGTGTGTGTGTTAGGTGTATTCATAAAAAAAAGTTGAGAAATCTGAAAAAAAAACAATTGAAAAAAAATTTGAAAAATCCTTGGATTTCATTCTGTATAAAAGTAGAGAAAACATTTTTCATTGAAAACGATGCTTAAAGTTTCAGGTGAGATTATTTTCTAATTTCTTGTGTAAAATCATCGTGAATTGTTCATAGAAAAGACTATTCAACATAACTGTTCAGTTTTTCCCCGTGCTATTTTTTTACATCAGAAAAAGAATAGAAGAGTAGCTTAAATAAATCTATCGTATATAATAAAAAGAATTTGTAACGAAAACAAATAAAACCAGTGACAACGGTAACAAACAAAACTTAAGCGAAAACAAAAATGGCCAATTAAATGTAAAAAAGGAGAAAAATAAAACCTGTCGATGCAGATGAGAGCACTATACTACAAAATAACTTACTCCTTTATTTTCATTCGCTCTAGTGGTCCATAGATATTATCGCTCTTACATTAACAAAAAAACTTTGTATGTACAAACACAAACATAATAACGATATGGAAAAGAAGAAGAAAAATATCTTACTGCTAAATGAAAAGAAGACAAACATATACAAATGAAAATAAATTACAAAAAAAAAAAGTTAGCATTCAATTTTTGTCCCTAAAACCAAAACAAAAATCATCGTCTAGCACAAAACGGGAAAAAGAATGAGAGATTACTGTTCTTCTGTTTCCACACACAAAAAAACAGTTTTACTGTTAGAATTTATGTTCTAGCAATAAAATGAATGACTAAATTACTTTAATCGATTAAAACACATACTTGTTTGAAAATAACAGGTAAAAATTTTGGCTTATCTATTCAAAAGACTTTTAACCAACTATCTCTTTCAATTAACTTTATCAAAGGAGAAAATTATCAAGTGGTATGATGTTGATTTAAGGTTCACCTTGAGGTTCTCAAATGTATCTGTCTGTCATAATAATAACAAGGAATCAAGATACTCTGTTTAAAGAGCTCTCTCTATTCTGGGGGTTGTTAAATAAAAAACAATAAATTCCTAGAAAAATATTTTTTCATTCAAAAATAAACATTACACAAGAAAAATCTGCACTTTGTTTTTTAAACTACAAAAAAATAACGATAACAAGTCTGCTGTGAAATTGATCATAGAATATTTTACAATTTGTAACTAAAACTGTAACAAGAAATATACTAAAATTCTGAAAAAATCACGACGGGTTTTGTCACCTAGTAGAAAAAATAAAGAAGAAAAAACAAAATTGAATAACACCGTGAAAATATTAAGTAGAATTTATTATGTTCTAATAATGTTTTCAAAGTTGACTAATTCATCATAGGGTTTTAATTTGAATATAGTTCATGTGTTAAGAAGGATTGGAGAATCGGTTTTTACAATATTCCGATTTATGATAATTAAAACATTTACGTTGTACATTTTGATTAGTAAGTATACTTTGAGAATGTAGCTGAGAATAACTGTCATTGCTAATAAACTGTTGTTGTTAATGATGCGAATTATATGGTGAATTTGTTTGTTTTGATTTGTGAACATCATTGTTCAACGAATTTGTTAGTGAAGCATCGAAACCATTTTGACTGGAATACGAAGACCGATTATTATATCTAAAGTTAAAACATTGACTTCAATTTGATACAATAGAAATTCAATACATAATTTATTCACTGTAACATAGCTCGAAGTTGAGTTGAAAAGAAATGATACGACTCATCGTGCTTAGATGTACTTGACTATGTTAGTGTTTTACTCTTGTAATTTACCTTGGTTGATTTTTCCTTTCTTCTCGATATCCATTTGTTTTCGACTTTTGATTTGCTGGTGATCGTTGATAAGATCCATTTTGTGTTTTTATTTGTTGTTTTTCTCTTTCTTTTTCGCTACCTCGTGTACCGAATTTTGGATGTTTTTTACGAAGATAATAAGGATGCCTAGAGTTTTCACAACGTTTTGAACGTAATTCAGCAACATTAAATAATAAAGGCTAGAACATACCAGAAAAAAAATTATTAAAATAAAAAGAAAACTATCAGAACGTTTTTTTTTTTGGTGTCATTGCTGAATAAGAAGGCAAAAATAAGAAAGTAACATACCTCTAAAGTAATATATGTTGCATTCGAAATATCCCACGATGGTTCAGAAACAAATGCCTTTCGTGCATGAATTAAAACTCGACGAATAAATATCCAATCTAAAATAGCAAAAATATTAATTAAATATTTTTTGTTATGTCAAAAAGTATAAAGTTTACTTCTGATAGATAAACCACCAGCCAAATTATGTGATAATTCAAATGGATCTTCAATAGCTAATGTTAGTCGAAACCATCCTTTATCCCATCTTGAAAGTGGTTGTAATCTTCTTATGGATACAATATGTTCTTCATAATTGAATGTTTCCGTATAATAGCGTAAAAATTCAATCCATAATTCACCCACACACGAAGTATTTTGTGATTTCCAAATTTTTGGCTAAAAACAACAAAATAAAATATATAAACAACGGATGAGAAGTAGAAATCGTGACATTATCAAATAAAAATATCTTAGTTAGAATAGAGACTATCTGAAGAGATGCGCGAGTCGGTATTTTTTTCGAGTACAAGTCAAGTCTGAGTTCAAGTCGCATAAAAAAACTGACTCAAGTTATTTTATTACATCATTCCATTGTCTCTCTCTCTCTTGTTTGTCTTGTTCTCTTTTAGATGTTCTTTCTTGTCATGTGATGAGACATTCTTCGAATAATGTTAGATTTCTCTCTATGGTCTTTCTCTACTCTATTCTACTCTAGTGTATAACAACTATAGGACATATCTTAATAATAATTCAAAGTTTCGCTGGAAAGTACAAATATGCTTTTCTGGCTGATGAAGACTCATTAGTAAAATTCATATAAAAAGGGTAAATTGTACAGAAAAAGCAAAAAATCCTTCATTATACCAAATTTTGTATATTATCGTAAAAGTACACATTCCACATTCCACATTTTTTATACAAGTCTGATGATGATTTTTTATTGCTATTTAGTTCGGATAACTATGAAAAAAACCAGAGAAGTTAATTATTTTCGATATAAAATTGAATACAAAACAACTTACTTGTTGTAAAATAGGTAGTACGGGTGGTGTTATTTGTTGAAGAAAATGTATAAGCATAATAATGTAAGAATAACTTGAAAGCGTACCTTGAGAAGCATCGCCAATATCGTATGTCTAAATGAAAAAAAAATCATACTAAAAAGCACTAACCAATCTATGATGCCCAATCATGTACTTTAGCTAAAAACTTGAGCATATAACCCAGTTGAGCTACTCGTGTATCGATTGATGAATACGTGTGTAATAAACGTGTATTCTCACGAGCCTAAACGAAAAAGACACAAAAGATATATTGTCGATTATAGTAAACTTTTTCTTGTCCATGTTACTTACCAATGTATTATGTAAACTAATATCAATATCAATTTCCGATTCGTGTTTTGAACGTATAATAGGTACTTTGGCATGTAAAACAGGTATTACATTACAAAACTCTTCACATGAGCGTACTATGGACAATAATTTTTGCATGATTTGCATAGATCGTTCACGCTACAAAATATAAAGACATAGTTATCATTGACCTCAAAGAATAAAGAAGAAAATATCAGAGTCGCCTTTACGAGACTAAAGTATGAAACTCCTCGTAACCGTATAATATGCTAAAATGCTGAACAAAATTCAATCTGTTTTAAAAATCACTATGTAAAGTAAAATGAAAGATTTTAACGATGAAAAAGTAGATACATCTTTTTGTTTATGTTCATTTTCTTTTTGTCGGTTTTCTCATGAGTCAAAAAAGCAAACTATGTAGACGACACAAAAAGAACCGTAATACAAAAACCATGTCCATTTGAACAGACGAACAAATGTGTTGACAAATCTAATCAGATACAACAAAAATTGACAAATAAGAAATGACACGCTGCGTGGCCAGATTGCTCATCTGTGAGATGTGTGCGGATGAGTAAAAAATCGACAAAAACTCATCGATTTTCGGATGTCAACTTTAACACTTTAACACTCCAAATAACTAGATGTGTTTCAAAAAAACCTCACCGTTCAAAATGGATGATGATGGTTAACTCAAATCTCAATAATATCGATTAACGGTGCAGAAAATAATCAAGTGCTGATATTAGCTTTCAACTTACATCATATTCTGTGATATCTTTGAATATTACACAAATATCCAAGTCACTATTCTTAAAACCAAATCCATTATAAAACGATCCAAATGCATGCAATGTACACTCAGGATACACACTTTTAAATAAATTTTCTAAACGACATAAAATTTGTTTGCGTGACCGAATACCACTTTCGGTGGGTTCATAATAACCTAAAACAAAGAAGAATATTTTATTTTGTAAATATGATATTTCATAAGTAGATTGTTATACATGTTATTTCATGACATATCTCAGATAATTTATCCAACCAGATTTTACTTAATGACTTAATTTCAGCTAAATCAGGCATAATCATCTCGGGACATTTTGATTTTAAATGATCAGAACCATTGCAGATTGTACAATAATAAGGTGCACCCTAGGACAAATAAACAAATAGTCATCGCTCGTTTACTATTCAGTTGACTGTGGTAACTCACTTGTTCTGCACCAAAATTTTCTGCTAGAAAATTATAAAAATATTCTGAGTCTGTTGATGTTATTATTGTTTGCTCATCATTGACGTTTGTCGGCGATGATAATGCTGATGGTAAGAGTTCTTCTATTGACAATGAGTTAGTAGCAAATATTTTACTACTGGTGGATGGTTCGAACACCGTGTGCTTTGTCGACAAGAGTTCTGCTGAAGATGCTATCGATAGTATTTCATCTGTTACGACGGTTTTATCGATCGAGGATGAATTTGCTTCAACAGTGGATGCCAAGTTCTCTTCTAAAACTCTTTCATTCAAAACTTGACCTAAAATAAGAAAAAAATTCTTAATATTCTTTCAAAACAAAGTATCGCTCAGTTAAAACAAACACATAATCTACACAAAGTATTTGAGAATAGTGTACTATGACTGTCGTAAAATCGCAAAAAAACGTATACATACAACTATAATTACTTAAAGTAAATAAAATGTTAGTATTTGCCATTATTTTTTCAAAATAAAATCACTTCTACATTGATATGATTGTCAATATTAAAACTTTGGTATATTATATCATCAAATTTTTTTCTATAACGATCATTTTTAATTGTTATTACTTAATTGCACTGATAAACAAATTTATTATACTTCGCTTTCAATACTACAATCCTCTTTTATTATCTTCTTCCTTTCTATTACTCATACTATACATATCACTTGTTTTTTTATTTCTGTTTAGATTTTTCAGTGGTAACATCAGTCGACAACATTTTACCTTTATTATTATCATCGCCAATATCATCGGTAGCTGAATTTAAACCTTTTTCGGGACTATTTTGTGAACTCTTTTCCTCATCACTCAAATGAGATGTGTTTAATGACGGTGTTTCAGGTGAAGTATTAACAAATTGTTGTTGTTGTTCACCTTCACTCATTGACGATGATTGAAATACATCCTGATGACTAAAAGATGGAAACAAAAATACAAATCATTAGGATACATACAAGTCCAAAAGTTTACATAAGTAAAACTGCTATGTCTAAAAAATTCGCAGTTCTGTTCTAGACCGACAACTTTATCAGGTGAAATTCTATAGCGAACATTCCTGGGGAAAGATAATTAATACTATTAACTTACATTCCATTTTGTTCATTCTCTTCTTCAAATGTTTCGATTTCTATTCCGTTCTCCTCATTTTCTTCTTCATATAATATATTTTCCGTTGGTATTTCGTCGTCTCGATCATTATCGTCCATTCGTTCGTAATCATTCTCAATATCATGACGAAAAGCTTCTTCAACTTCTTCGGTGACTTCATTTTCCCACTCCGTTCCATCAGTACCATATGCATTTTTATTATTTAGTGTTAGCCATGGTTTGGGTAGTGGTTCGGTATAGGAACGAATATAATACTCTCTTACTCGTCCTTGACGAATTGTATGATCACGAAAGATGGTTTGTGGTAAGCTTTTTGCAAATGTTTGAAATGATAATTGTAAAAGATTTTCAGATACATCATCAGATTCAATAACAATAAAATCATCGTTGGGATTTTCCATTTCGGAATTCTTATTGTCTTGTTTATGGTTTTTAGATATCTGTTTACGACCAAAATAGAGTAACGCTGATCGAAGACACAAAGAAAAATAATCTAATGAACGTTTTGCTTGCATGGTGTGACACAAACTACGTTTGATATCAGTTGGATCTAAATGGGATGAATACATTAAAAGATCCTTGCCAAATAGAAGATTTCTCACTCGATTTCGACATGTAAAAGTTGAAATACAATTCCTTCTACTTAGAAAATTTTTAGTGAAAAAAGGTCTGTTATATTGCTAGCAAAACGATATTTTAAATAAAACTACTAATAGGTTTAGTTGAACATATCTCTGCATACATATAAAAGCATCTTCAAAAATCTGCTATAAATGGAACAAAAAACAACAACAAAATAATTGCTGTAAAGTAGGCATTTTTTTTGAAAGAGACACAATATACAAGACCTGTTTAAAATTTAGGATGCAGATTTTGTATTCTATCATTCGTTTTAGTATGAAACCGAAACATTAGGTTTAAAACTTATAGTTTAGAAACCTAAAGACACACAACGTACCTTCAACAAGTAGTTTTCGATTATGCCAATTTTTCTCCACCTTTAAAATGGGCATTTTTGTTTGAATTGATACAACCAATTGTTTTACGGAAAATATTTGTAAATAATACGCTAATAATTGTAAAAATAATTCCTCAACAGATGATTTATTTTTGGATTTCCACGTATGAGATTTTTCCTTGAAGTAGGATCAAAACGTGGCAAATGTGACAAAGCCTCATAGTTTACAAAATTGGTAAAAGTATACTTACAAATTCGTTACATGCTTTAAAAAATTCTTGATGTTCTTGTTCATTTAATGTAACTGGTACATTATTAATGCCATACATCTAAGAAAGCGAAAATCAATATTTAAATATGATTGAAAAGAGTCTCATCTAAACAATAAAATGTACATGTTCGTGTAAAACTGGCAATATTGGTGGTTCAATTTGTTGTAAGAAATGAATGACTAATATATGATAAACAATCGGATGCAATGTACCATATTCTGTATCATCAATATTACAAACCTAAAATATCAAATGAGACAACTCAAAGTTAAGGTAGAACAAATATAAAAATAATAAGTAAATAGTTTTAAGAGAGCTTGTTTGTTAAGATTCAATATTTGTCAGTCATTCATACAATTCTGGGCTTAACATTTCTTTTTATGATCACAAAGTCGACAAATAGCATGAAATCTTCTTGAAAATATTATATTCTGCGCAGTTTTATCCGTTGGATACAGTTTTGCTACTTAAAGGGTAAATGCCATTTTGTCTTCTCAGATCATATAAAAACTGTTCGGTTTACGTGTCATTTGTATTAGAGTGAACCTCAAGACTCATTATTTTTTACAAAAAAATTTCTTTAGTTCAAAGTTTACGACAGTTCAAAATATTTTCAAGAAGAATAGCAGGGAGTGTAAACTTCGTTTTTAAAGACATAGCTGTCTCAAAATGCACGTTGATTAACACAGAAGGGCCTTTTTTTCAACTTTTCCCAGCCAAGTGATCACAAATTACTCTTCTTGTGTAAACGAGTTTTAGTATTCTCGTCTATTTTTAGCCTACTTAGCTATTGAGTTATAATCATATCAAGTTTCCTTTCGACAGCGTAATAAGGAGTCATGATTTTATCTGAATAAAACAGAATCTATTTTAATAAAAGATTTGAGCCCCGTTAATCTTGAACTTATAGAGATGACGATAAAAAAATTCTGTGAATCGTGCATAAATAAGTCAAAAAATCTCTCTCATCATTACATACTTTTGCTAGATATCTGAATAATCTCATTAATTTCAAGGTTCGTATATCAAACTTTGTATAAAGTTGAATTAATTTTGATAGATATATTCCACGTGTATAACCAGATGTTATACGAACACGGATCGGTTTATCTCCTTTGGTATACATAGTAATACACGATGGTTTATGATCTGGATCAATTTTAGCGTCATTACAATATTCTTAATAAGAAAACGAGCAGACAGTAAATATATATTTCTTTTTGTTAACGTTTACCGGTCTGCTGAATAATTTCCAATAACTCTTTTAATGTATCATAATGTAATGTTTCACAAAACTGCACATCAATATCAATAATAGCCGATTGTTCCAAACAACATTCAAAATAGACACTACCATATGTTTCAATTCGACAATCTAAAATAGAAGCAAGTAATAGTCATGAAAAAAAATGCTGTCATTGTGGTCAGTGTCAGAAAGATAGATTTTATTCTCAAATTATCTAAAATTAGTCGAAAAGGTGATATACCTGGTCGTTTTTGTAATATTGATTTTATAATATTTTCGACCAAGCATCGTCGCTTCAAAATACTGTCAGACGACAGAAATTTTTCATTAATTATTTTATTGAAACATATTTTTAATGCTTGTAACTGTTCGTTCGATGGATATACTATAGCTATGATACTTGTTTCATTGAGATTCTAAATAAAGAATCTATCTCACATTTATAAATAATAAGCAAATGAATAATGATCGTTCATTATAAACTCAAAATTACCATAAAAGCCACTTACACTCGGTGGAGAATCATCCGTTTTATCATCCGTATCATTCGTTTGAGATTTACGCTGACCTAGTGAATATAAGGCGAATTAAATTGATTATTTAAATGACAGGAAGAACTTTTCAGGAGCTGAGGCAGAAGATTGCAAGTTAAAATTCCTTTTAGCCGAACCAACTGATTTATTTCTTCATTTTTATGTCACCTTGTGGTCTATAATTTCGTTGTTTTTTGTCATTTCTCTCAAGAGATTTGGCATGCAACAGTGGTATTGGTATTGATGAATCTAGTAACGGTTTCACAACTGGCGCAACATCCAATAATGGTGTTAGTTCTGGCTTCGATTTCACAACTGGCGCAACATCCAATAATGGTGTTAATTCTGGCTTCGATTTCACAACTGGTTTTTCTTCTGGTGGCTGCCGTTTGAGAGTATGCGATGATGGTAGACGTGCCTGATCGAGTTTACTGGGTCTCAACAAATTATGGATCATCAGTTTTGCTTTTATATCAAGGCGTTTTCCAGATGTTGTAGAAGATGGAGGAGTCTCGAGTGACGGTTTTCCACTCATTTTTTTAATGATCTTATCTAAGAGAAAAGTTAAGAATAAAAATCCAAAAAAAGAAGACAATAGTATATTATTAAATAATAGTCTATATTGTCATAATGCTTAGAAATCATTCAACCATACTAATCACCGGTAATCAACTGTGACCGAGGCGATTAATTGTGTTTAACCTATTTGATATAAAATGACCGTTGTCAAAAAATTGAGTCCTTCCTTGTTGGTATTTTTACGCGACAATAGAATAAAGAAAGACGGAGTTAAGATGCATTAAAACAAACACTAATGGGAACAGAGGAAAGAGAACAATTTTCTTTTACAAAAAATACTCTGACATAAAACTTCTATTCGAATCTGTAAAATTAATAACCTTATTAGATACATTTCATATATGTAGACAAATGTATACTTTTATTCCATACATGTTATGCTTATTGACTACATCTATTATTCTTACCTACCGCCATTAATAGAAAAAAGTTTAACATTAATAATATATAATCTAAAATTATGTACTACAAGAAAAGATAAAATTTACTTAGTAATCTCTACTCAGCTAACAAAATTATCTCAGTAATTGATGCTATCTTTCTTATATATCGTTTATGAAATGGAATGCGTCACAAATTGTTCATATAAAGAAAATTTATTTTCTGAAGAAGCAAAATTAAACTTAAAGTCACTGATGCAATAGAAGCACGATAAAAAACAAAAAAAACAGAATGAAAAAGATACCATCACTCTTGAAGCAACTAGGTGAATGATAAAAAAATTTTGTTTAACGTGTTGAAAATTATAATCATGCTAATTTACAAAAAAAGTTTAAAATAAGAATAACGTTGTAAAATTCTTTCACAATTAGAGCATCCATGTCATTATTAATAATAACTTATATGACATGGAAATAACCCATGCGTCAACTGTATACATTCAAGAAGACTGTCAAATAAACAACTGCAACAGTATAGTTATATATATATGTTCGTCATTTCAATAAAACTATGCTTTCAGAAAACAATATGTACGAAGTCATATTTTTAACAAGGGTAATACTTTAGTAGATACGTGAAAAACAGATAAAAATCAAACAGTTTAAACGATTGATGTTACAAGGCAAAAAGCGACGCTCAACAATATCGTTCTTATAAGTAAAAGTAGCCTTTGAATAAACAAATATTAAATACTGCTATGCACTTTTCCACAAAGATAAATGTACGCGCTAGAATAGAAACATTAAGACAAAAAACACCTCACTGAATAAATTAAACAGTAAAACAATAAAAAAATCAAAACGTTTGACAGAGTTTATTTTAATATAATTTATGTCGACGTAAAAAAAGAATTTCTGAATTTTTAATTAACAATCTAAACCTTACGGACATTTCACACTTAGGCACGTTTGCTGTACTTCCGTATAGATAAAATCAGACGGATATGTGAGACTGAAAAGAAAAGAATAAAAAAATGCTTTTTTTACCTGTTTCTCCACTTAGTACTTCAGCCTAACACTATTGGTTAAATCTTAAAAACGAGAAAGAACGCCATCTACACATAAATGCTGATAATCTTCTAGGAAAATAGTAAATATAACTATCATTTTTATTAAAAAAATTTTAAAAATTGACTTAGTTCCATTCAGCAATCAAATTTTTCTTATAGGTAGCGTTACCAAGAAGCATAATGGTACTTCCACAGTAAAGGTCGAGTTAATTTCATAGAAGAATTTGACTTTATCTTCTGAGATTTTCTATCCACTATCTCACATTTATAAAGGTATTTTTCGTGATATATCCTTATGTTGGCAATAGCGAACGATTGTACTTTTGCGCCCTTCGCTATTTAGACGCATATGCCTCTTCCCCTGTTCAAACTAGAGATTAAAAGTCGATGTTTAAGCAATATATTACTTTTAAGAACACAAAACCTGGAATGTGTAGTTTCAGATTCTGTAGCATTTCTATCCTAAACATTTTGCTTGAATACTTTTCAAAGTTTACTAATCTTAAAAACTAGACAAGTCATGATGTCATTTTTTCTCTCAAACGGTAGAATTAATCCTAAGAATTACATTTGTTTAAAGTTTTCAACAAAAATGTGCAAACTTCTTGAGCGGAGTATCAGAAAACTTCAAAAAAGTTGTAACATATGAAGAGGCCTAATTCAGTTCTCATGCCACCACTTACTGTTGAACGACTGACGACTACTTGAAGTTGGAATTTTCATCGTAATCTATTCACAGGATGTACTTCAATAATCGGTGAAAGTTTCTCTGAATTTTGTTGCACAGTATATAACAAACTTCTATCTGTGGGGAGAACGAGATAGGGTATTAAGTAATTTCAGATGTTGTGCAAACGGTCGATCTGTGCAATAATCATCACTCAATTTTGAGATATAGTTGCTGTTTTTCGAACTCGTGGTACTGTCATTTTTTTCAGATGCTCTCACACACTCTCTCTGAAAGATAAGAAAAAAAATGTCTTCGAAACGGCAATTACCAAATGTTGTCGACACATCATCTCAACGGCCAACTGAAAAAATTCGACATTTAAATACAGCACTCATTGTAAGTCATAATATCGTCAATATCTGTATAAAGTTTTATTTTACCTTTTTACCTTTCGTTAAGAATACAGAAAATAATCTTCGTTCTGCTCAACAAAACTTTGACTTATTAAAACAAATTCAGTCGCCATCATCGTTATTAGATACAGTAGGTGACTTTTAACAGTTAGCAATTATTCTTCAGAGTAAACATAATTGTTCTTTTTTAGTTTAAAACTAATCATGATTCGATTACCACATCAGATAGAATGGACTCACGTAATTAATGAAACAATTTTTTTTTTCACATATGTTATATAATTCTATCTTCTAGAATTTGATTCAAATGATGATCGACGATATCGAGTATAACTTCGAAAAATAAATTATTATTACTGCTATAAATCATATTATCTTTACTTTTAGAATTATTATAATGAAACAGTTCATAATGATTCATCTCGTCGTAATCGTAAAGATGTTCGATTTAATGATGATATTGGTAAATCGTTAAATTTTCTAAATGATGATTTACATGCACTCTCAACAGAACATGGAAAATTACGACATGAATTAAAATCAAGAGACCAGTATGCAAGCTCGATTATCTTTTACTCCTGTAGAACATTATTTTTTTCATTTAAGTGAGCGAGATGATAGTGATGCATTAAATGATACGCAATCATCGAGTTTTCGTCAAGATATGATAGACGAGGTAAGAGAGAAAGAGAAGTATCTATAATTGATAAAGAGATAATTTGTGTAGGTTGTACAATCTCGTCTTGATCGACGTTTACTCGAAATTCAAAAAGATTTGAAACGTGAAAAAGAGCAACAACAGTCTCAGGCAACAGTTGATGTACGAGCTCTCGTTCAAGAACTACAACGAAAACCAAATCTGACTACAATTTCCTCTTCTACACTTCAAAATGAAGATGATAAATTATTACAGGCAAAATTGCTATTAGCCGACTCGAATAAACAAATGGTATGTCTGAAAAATAATATTTTACATCGGATAAAGTACTTTTATTGTTAAATTTAGATTGAATCACAACTTTTCAATACCAAACGACAATTAGAAGATGCTGAAACTGGAAAAAATTCTTTAGCTTATCAAGTAAATAGAAATAAGAGAAAAAAAATCTTCCTTAATAAACTTAAATCATTGTACTGAAATTCAGCAACGAAGTAGCTTGGCTGCACTAAATCGATAAAAATCTAAGCGTTCTTTTTCTTTTGCTTCTTCTAAACTAAATTTTACCTTTTCCAGAATTTCAAACTTTTCACTGGAAGATAGATTGTCTTTCATACACTGGATTAGACAGACAGCTTAGAACTTAGAATGTATAACATAAAATAGACTAAAGCAAAAAAAAACAAAAGTTGACTGGTTACAAACACTTGATGCTGAGTACAAAAATTGATGTAACTTGGAGCCTTTTGCTAGAGACAGATTAATAATAATTTTCATGCGATATCTATCTCACGCTTGAAATGAATGACTATCTTCAAAAATGTTTTTGCGTACTACAATTAATGAATATTCATATTTGTCAACAATAAGATACTACTTTTTATCAGCAAGCTCGACAGTTCCGTGGAAATTCCAGAATTCAAAGTATTGCTACTCACTCTCATGCTCCTCTCCCCCTTCCACTATCATATTCTCTCTACGAATTGGCAGATTCTGGTAGAACTCAATTCTAATTCTACCAGAATCTAACTAGAATTACAGTAGAATTGCACCAGAATCTGCCAATTCGTAGAAAGAATCTAAGTATGGACTAATGTAACTCTCCATAGATATATATAACTCTATATAGATTCTCTCTACGAATTGATAGATTCTGGCGTGATTCTGCTGTAATTCTGCTAGATGTTGGTCCAGTTCTAGTTAAATTCTAGTAGAGCTAGAATTGAAATTCTACCCGAATTCAATCAGATTCTGAACAGAATCTTATCAGCAGTATATATTTGAACGTGTTGAATTCTGTTAGTTTTACGAATTTCCATGGAATTTTAGAACTGGACACTGTTGCTTTTTACCACTACTATGATCTTGTATTGAAAATTACATAAAAATTTGATTCATTCGAAGTGCCGGTTATTATCCGCTTATTGTTTCACAATCAATCTGTGGTTATATGATGCTTCAAACTTTTGATTTATAAAATCAAATCTATATTGTTTTTTTGTTAAACAGTTTACTTGAAGAGTAGGAAATGATAAAACCATTAATGATAAAATTATTTGGAAAATGAGCATGAGTCTTCGAAATATAGATATAAAGATTTTGCAGCATGAGTGTACCCGCACTGACTTTTCAAAGATTATTAGAAAACTAGATGCTTGTATTTTTATCATATTTTCTGAACGAAAGATCAGGCAGAGTCCGGTACTGAATAGAGGAATAAAGGAAAGCGAGCGATCGAATGAAATCTATTTTGTACACTTTCAGTTTTTCTTTCTTTTTTAGGTTACTCAGTTGAGAGAACAATTAATGCGAAGTGAATATGAACGAGAATCAATAATCAAACAAAGACGAGATGAATACGATTCAACCGATGATGCGCCAATTCGTCGACGAAGAGGTACTACCATTAAATTTCAAAACATTTGACTTTTAACAATAGTTGCTCACTTTGTTTTAGAGAGTGATCGTTTAAATCTTGAACGTGAATATTTACAAATGCAAAGTCATTTGATGAAGTCAAACGCATTAAATGAAATCGTAAATGTCAAGAAAGATTTAGATAAAAGTGAGAGACAACGAGAACAATTATCAGATCATTTAGAGGTATGTATGTGTGTAGCCTTTCACTCATCAGTTTCGAGCTTGTATATTATTTGCTATAGATTTTGATGAAAAAATGTGATGAAAAAGAAAAAATAGCAGCAAAAACCTACGTAGAGTTAAAAGAATTAAGTGAAAATTGTGATACATACGAACGACAAAATGTTAAATTACAACAAGATTTGTCAATGGCATTGGAAAAATTAGAAGAAATAACACAAGAAGCAGAAAAATATGCCGAAGAATTACAATTGAATCAAAAACATATTGCAGATTTAGAACAAAAACGTGAAGAATTTAAAATACAAGCTCAGGAAACGATTAAACAGTAAGTGAAATTGAACTAATGTTAATTATAATTAATAAAAATGGTTGAAAAGGGTTGAATAGTTGAAAATGCTCTCAACTGATTTAGATGGAAAGCTCGTGTAAAAAAATTAGAAAAAGATGTGGACCGTCATAAATTTGGTTCAACTCAAATGCTTGAACGTAATGAACAATTAGTTAAAGATATGGAAACACTAAAAACACAAAATTCAACGTTAAAAGAACAAATAACAAAAATGGAGACAGAACTGAACGATTCACAGGTATTGCATACTTATCTATCAAACTTTCTATATAATTTAAGCATGCTTTTTTTTCTCGTTATAATAGACAACAAGAAATCGTTTAGAAGATCATTTTAAACGGGGCGAAGATGATGTAAGTTAAATTAAATGTTTATAAATTAAATAAATATTCTTCTCATTTAGTTGTTACAAATTCGAACAATTCGTACGTCACAAGAAGCAGAAATTTCTAAATTGAAAGGAACAATTAATGAGGTATGTGTATCAATTACATTGCGTGACACGATAGCATGTTCTAATGCTCTAATGATCCAATTTTATAAAAGATTCTTATACTTTTTTTATAAGAATCTTATAGAAATTTTACAGATATCTTAATTTCCCAGTCGAGGGAAATGCATACTATGGTTATAAGATTCTTATGTAAGAAATTTATACAATTACTATCGTTAAAAAAAGAACGAAAAAAAAAGCTTTTTTTATGTTATCTGGAGGACGAGGGGCAAAATTTTGTACTTTGAAATATATTGCGAATTATAAGAATATTATCATCACAGTATGCATTTCTATCGACTGTAGAATATAAGATTTTCGTAGTTTTGGTTGACTAGGGTGGAACTTGAAGTTTCTTTTTCTTAGCTTCTTTTAATCACATCTTGACTCAAGGCAGAGTTGGAACCGGCACCCTAACCGGTCCGATTGACACGTTTTTTTTAACCGGTTGAGACCAAAGAAAACATCATTGGTTTACCATAAAAGTTGTTCACGAAATGTCGTTTTTCAGCTCGGAAAAAATTTTTTCGTGCTGCATTCTAAGAATTGGTTTCTGTGAGTTGTTTCTGTTCGACTCTGCTTCAAGAAAAGTGAGTTTCCAGCCACCTTTTTGTGAAATACGTTGCCGATGTTCAACCGGTTACAAAATTTTTAGAAAACGACCGGTTTTTTTGCCGGTTTTTTACCGTTTTAGGCGTGTTTTTAACCGACCGGTCCGGTCCGGTTGAATAAAACTCAATCGGTTCAATAAGACTCAAGATCTTGGTAAGAAAACGTAAGAAATTAGAGAAGTTTCAAGAATCAAAGAATTTGAACTTCTTTCGACTACTGATAGCAAGATCTTGATTAAGATCTCGCATGATGGAGTCTTCTACTCAAGATCTTAGAAATTTTTACATCACTGTTTTTTTACACTCTTGTCCATATGTAAGTGCAAATATTTTTAAATTTAGAATAACTTCGAATCTTTTTTTCATTTTTAAACATAATTATTTAAGAAAGAATCTATGATTATATATGAACTCAAGATTTGAAAAGTTTTCTTCAAAAAAAATCTTGAACAAGACTTTGGATACAAGAACTTTCAACTTTGAGGAGAATGATATTTTATTGTATTTAGCTGGAAAGTCAATTATCAATGAATCGTCAACAATTTGAACATAGTGAACGTGAAAAACATATGATTCAACAAATGTTACAAGATGAAATTCGACAAAAAAATCAATTAGATTCAAAAACAAAGCTAACAGAGGTTTCTAAATTAATGTAAAAATTTTGTAATTTTATTTTTTATCTACATAAGATTTTGATATTTATTTACAGAGAGATATTGAAACACTCAACGTTTCTCGTAATCAATTACAAACTCATATAATTGAAATTGAAAATGAAAGAATGGTAGATTATATCTATTAGTATCAAAGTGTGTTAAAATCTAAGATTAACTCTTATTGTTTAGGAATTAATACAAAAATTGAAAGAAGTAGAATTAGAACGCGATTCTTATTCAGTGCAACTGCATGCAAGCAATAAATCATTCAATGATGTAAGCGTCAATATTTTAATTATTTTTTTGTTCTATTATTAAAAATTCGCTCTATTTTTAGGAAAAAAATAATTTACAATCGAAGTTTATTACATTAGAAAATGATTATGAAGAAATAAGGGTATTATTAACTGACATTGAGTGAATTTTTAATCATATCTTATTATATAAAATTAAATTTTAGCGTAAATTCGATTTTACAAAAACTGAATATACTCGTGGCATGAAAACGTTACAAATTGATTATGAAAATAAAATTGAAACACTCAAGGTACATATAGGAGATAATAGAAGAAAATGGAGACTAATACTTTTTGATATTCTTCTTGATTATCTTTCTATAGCTTCAATTAGCTGATGAAAAAGCGCGTTCTCAAATATTACAACGTCATGAAACAGAATATAAAAAAGAAGTTGAACGTTTACAAGAAAAATCATCCCATTTTGAAGATAATTTTAATCAAATAAAATATAAATATGAAACGACTACAAGAGATTTTGCAGAAAAAGTAATAATTATATATTGACTATTCGTTCTCATTTTAACCTACATATTCTTTACTTAGGAACGTATATTGGAAGATAATGAATCAAAGTAAGATTTATTAGAAAAAAAGCTTGACAGTTTTACATTGTTTAGATTTAGATTGAATAAACTACAAGTTGACTTAACGAATCAAAAAAATCAATTTTTGAAAAAAGAAAAAGACTATCAGGTAAATAGAGGATACTGTCTGTTATAGAAATAAACTTTATTAAATGGAATATTTTCTTACCATTAGAATGCACTTCATACGGTATATAACGATTTAACCTATTGTACAGAATCTTTGTCAAGTGATTCAGATGAACCGTATATTGTTCTTGATACACCATTAGCGAATGATATTGAAACATGGTTAAGTAAAGTCAAGGTATTCTATAGAGAAATTTTGTTTTTTTTATTATTATATGTAAGAGAATTGAATTGAATTTATAGGCAAAATTAGCTTGGCTAAAACAAGAACTTGATGCAAGACGTCAACGAGAATCAAAATTACGTCAAGATTTGAATAATGCACTGTTAGATAGTGATGCTGATAGAAAATATTTTGCTACTGAACTAGCAAAAAAAGAAGTGTTAGTAGATGAAATGGCTAGAGAAAAATTAAGTAAGTTTTCATCATTCGAAACAATTTCAAAGTCTTACACTTTTTTTTTTCTTTTTCTTTCTTAGATTTATTTGATATGGAACGAGAAACATCTGATAAGATGAAATTCTTACAAGTAAATCATCTATGATATTTTTACTAATTAAAATGAATAATATTTTATTCTTTTTTATTGAAAATAGACTCAACTAGTTGATTTATCTCATCGTGTCGAAGGACATTCTGTTAAAGAAATTGAACGTGCTAGACAATTACAAACTGTTGAAATGCAACTGGAATATGAAAAACGACGAGCGTTAACCGAAGTATATTAACAATTATTTAATAAAGCGACCCAAAGCGAAAAATCTTGAAATATGATCTTGTAAGATCGTATTACAAGACACCACAAGATTTCATAAGAATCTTGGTTTAGGAATCTTATAAGATTTCTCAAGATTTTTTTTGCAACAAGATTCCGTAAGATCTTGTATGATCGTGTAAAGAAGTAACAAGATTGAAAGCTTTCATAAGATCATATAAGAATTCTTCAGATCTTACAAGATTATGTCCCTGGTGCTGTCTTACAGATTCCTTCTTTTCTGTTCATCGTATTTTCAAGCATAGAAAGGACTCTGATCACATTAGGAACGTGTCTAACCACTTTTCTTATAGCCATGCACTTTATTTGTGCTCAACTCCCAGCTCAAAAAATCAGATCAAGATCTTATACGATCTTATGACATCATACGAAAAATCATAGAAACGGATTCATCTTATAAAATCTTATAAAAATCATATAAGAATCTTACGAAATCTGATGAAATCTTAGTATAAGATCTTATATCATGAATCAGTTTCGATGTTTCTTATAGAATCTTACGATCAGACGGAATCGTACAAGAATCTTATATATCTTACAGTAAGATTCTTTGACCTGGGCTGATATGTAAAGTTGAAGAAAGAAAAATATTCTACCCAGGTCAAAGAATCTTGTTGTAAGATCTTATAAGAATCTTGTACGATTCCGTCTGATCGTAAGATTCTATAAGAAACCTCGAAACTGATTCATGATATAAGATCTTATAGTAAGATTTCATCAGATTTCGTAAGATTCTTGTATGATTTTTATATGATTTTATAAGATGAATTTGTTTCTATGATTTTCCGTGAGATTTTATAAGATCGTGTAAGATCTTGATCTGATGTTTTGATCCCTGAATATATACCGTAGCAAAGTTTCTGTGGTACGAACGTATCATCACTTGTTGTACGATCTTATAAGATATTGTAATACAACAAGAAATCGTATGATCTTGTGATAAGAACTGAATATGAGTAAATGCTCTTATTGATAAAATCTTGCAAGATCATATGATTTCTTGTTACAAGATTATATAAGATCTTAACATTTCTTATAAGCTGATCTTGTAAGATCTTACGACAAGAAGGTACAAGATTCCGCAAGATTATACATGATCTTGAAATAAGCTCTTACAAGATCTTGACAAAAGATCTTGTAGCAAGATTGCATAAGAAATCATCAGATCTTATAAGACATCTTTCACCTGTGTATTATTTTTATTCTGAATGTTGTGTTTATTGATTTAGGATGAAAAAGATCGTATTAATGATCGTTATCGACAGTACGTATTATTGAATAGTCATTTATTTATATAACCTCTAAATTACTAACTAAAATATCATTTTTTTCAGGCAATTGTTAAAGTAATAACAATATATAGAATTCATAGTTTAATTGCATTTTTAATTTGATTTTTTTGTAGCATAAGATTCCCCCACCGTGAAAAGTATGATGCACTCGCTTTATTTTTTCCGATAAATTTGATTATTTGCTTCATGTATGATGATGCATGCCGACAATATTGCTCACAAAATCAGATTATTTATCATAGTCATCGAATAATACAAGATGATTACAATTATAATTTCTATCTTTTATGCAAAATGACTTTTCATTTGGTCGCAATTAAACATATTTTATAAATGCAGAATATTATGCATGTTACGCATTCAAATATTCTACATATATTCACACACTTCTCTGCAAGAGATCAAAAGTGTAATTTCTTTGCTTTTTTGAACTTTTTTTCATTTGAGATAAGAGTTGAAAATTTATAACTAATAATTTAATAATCAAAAGAAGAAAATTTTCTACTGGATAAAATAGTAAGATTTTTCATTAAAGAATCTTGAATCTACGCTCTTCTAGTATTTATAATTATAATTATTGATTTGCTATTCTTGTTATCGATTATTCTTATCATATTCTGAATGCTTCTATTGTTTGTTCTAGATTTCAAACGATGATCGATTCAATTAAACGTGATTTACAAAGTGCGAAAGTACAATTATTTACCAAAAGTCCATAATTCATGTGCATTTTCTTATGAACAATATAATAATCTCGTATATTATCTACCTTCTTTTTATGCTCATTTTTTTATGTAGGAATTTTAAATCCCTCATTCTCACTCAGCAATAGATAATGTTTTCTTTTTTTTTTATATTATTTCATATTTTTAACTTTTTGACTGGTATTTTTATTTGTTTTAGTTTTAGTTTCGTATTATCTCCTCTACGACGGCTCATGATATGATACGTTTTTCAACACTGTGTCGAGTGCAAGCATTTTTTTTTTTTTTTTTGTATCAGTAGTTTTTTTTATTCTAGAAAATAATGAACAAAACCTATGTAGAAGAAGATTTTATATCATTCATAGTAAATTAAAGAAAATTTCGTTTGTGTTAGATTTTTGATTGAACAGGATTTGTGAGAAAACACACGCCTAAAATTTGATGAAACATTTAACACTAGTCTTAGATACCAATAGGTATAAATTCACTAACAAATTTAAAATATAACAATTTGATCATTTTGATTAAGCTGATTTTTTACTATTGATAGTAATGGTACTCAACATGCGATACGCATAACTCGATAATGGCAATAACAGAAACAATTATTCACAGAGCTTTGTTTGTCTATCTTAACTTGCAGACATATGTCCAATCCAGGGTAAAGTCGGATCGTATCTTAGTCCATTTAGTCCGACTTGGAGTCAGTTTTTAAAAAGTTTAATGGTTTGAACTGGTCCCGGTCCTAAAACTATTGGATCGAACTGGTCCTGATTGGAAAACATTTTAGAAATTGATTTTTTTACGATCAGTTCAAAAAAATGAACGGTTTAAAACAAGATAAATAAACTTTGTTTTCTTCTCTCCTCCCGTTTCATTTTATTTTATCTTTCTTTTAGGCCTTGTTCTGAGATCGGAGAATAAACAGATGTTAGGTCTCTCTTTGGTTTTTTGTTTATTAACTAGATAAGCTTTGTTGAACATTTAATTAAGAAATAGTTTGTTTTCAGGTTTGACAAAAATTAAAATTAAACCGTTTTGCATTACACAGTAGAAATGGATCTTCAAAAAGGAGGAAAATAATTTTCATGTCCCAAGTACTACGAAAAATTTATGGTCCGGATTGGTCCTGGTACCAACAATTTTTATCGAAACTGGTCCCAGACAGTTACGATCCGGTCCCAAAAATTGGAACTAGACCGGACCATACGGAGCCCTGTTGCATACTTCAGAATTAGCAAAAAATAAGGAAAAAATATTGTATTTTAATTTGTTTATAAATTCATTCTCAATCAAAATTTCATTCTCACAAAAAGAAATCTCATACGACACAAATCATGATTAATCGCTCACGAGGGAAGGTTCCCAAGTGTTACTTCCGCTTTTCAATGGGACATATTCTAGTTTCTAGAGCTCGACGAGCTGATTACGATGCCATAAAGCATTTTTCTCCATGTCTCTTGAAGATCCAGTTTTCTGGAAAATCAGTTTTTCAGAAACACTAAAATATAACCAAAACCTTTCTTAACGAGGCATTAATTGTAGCGTGCACATTTCGGATTGAAACGAGACATCTCCAACCTGTACATGACCTTTCTTTGCAAAGTTAGAGAATTTACAAGAAAAGCCTTGAATGTTCATTGTTAGATCTAAGCTACAGAAATAAGAAATTAATTTAGGGCTTTTCTTGTAAATTCTCTAACTTTGCAAAGAAAGGTCATGTACAGGTTGGAGATGTCTCGTTTCAATCCGAAATGTGTACGCTACAATTAATGCCTCGTTAAGAAAGGTTTTGGTTATGTTTTAGAGTTTCTGAAAAACTGATTTTCCAGAAAACTGGGACTTCAACAGACATGGAGAAAAATACTTTATGCTATCGTAATCAGCTGGTCGAATTCTACAAACTAGAATATGTCCCATTGAAAAGTGAGAATAACACTTGGAGACCTTTGATATATTTGTCTTTCTTGTTTTATTTTGTTTTATCTCACTTTATTTTTCATATCCTCGTTTCGGAAACGCTTATAATTTGGATGTCTATGGTTTAAATTTAATTTAACACTTTTCTTAAATTTACTTTCGGAACTTATAATGTATTTCGAGATAAGTTTGCTGGAAAAATGACGTGTATAAAAGCAAGGATTAGAAAATGACAACAGACAAGACCAAATGTCATAACAAATCTCATTAAAAAAAAATCGAGAATATTTTGGCAGTTCTATGTGTAGAAAGTGACTATACACTGTCAAGAAAAAAGTGTCTTGATAAACCACCGTGATGGTTTCAAAATGCATCCGCCGCGCGTAATAAAGACACGTTAGATGCATTTTCTTATCTTTTTTACTATTAGTCATCTTGATGTCTTGACAAAACACCTGTAAATCACTGTTTTTTTAAATAAAAATAATTTAGGTGCCTTCGATATACGTTACTAATGCATTAAAAAATCACAACTAGAATTGCATACCGATTTTGACATTACCTAATCGAGATGAGCATATTTTCAACGTTCGCAAAACTTTTTTAACACTATTAACCACATAATACAGCTTATTTAAACATGTTGTTAATGTTAGCATCGATAACTAATGATACTAGCATCATCACCATACGTTTCAAATAGTTGTTTATACAACGTGGCTACTTGTAGCCCAACGTGCATTCAGATATATCCGTGATACAACTCTTCCGCGAATCGATTTTTCATCGAAACGACTCTTTCGTGAATTGAAATGTGGTGACAGTAAGCAGCGTGAGAGTGAGTGTGAAAAGAATTTCATTCGTGGAAAAAGTTCTCGGAAAAGTCGTTTCTCGGAGGAGTTGGTGTACCAAATATACACTTTTGTTGTCATTCGAATTCAACTATGATTGTAAATAATGACGACATTAGTTTTTTTGTTGAAGATGCTCAAAACTTTATTTATCTTTTAAATAAATATGCTTTAAAGAACTGAATACAGCTATTGGTAAAAAAGTTCAACATGAACAATAACTATTGTTAATTAGAATGTACTGATTAGTAACCTTTTGTCAATGTACTTTTAAATCAACCAATCACATGTTCGGTGGAAATGCTAAATGTTTTTGTGGTGGATAATATCTGCTACCAGAAAGAACTGGTGAAGGAGGAGGGATTTGAGCATAGCCACTGATAAAACGTTGATTTGAACAACATCCAGCAAAAATACACGAAAAAATTGATGCTAAACCGCCAATAATACTTCCAAGTACACCAGTAGCTATCAACAAAGAATTCATAATTAATTCAATTCGTTCTGAATCACTACGATTGTTAGACGTTGTTCTCGTTACATCGTATTGAACAGGAATAATACACGTGATCATCATGTAAAATGAGAGAATTGTTGTTATAATAGAAGAAATGGCAAAAGCAATGATACAAGAGACAGTACATTCACGAGAAGCTAATATGCCAATAACACCCGTGGCCATTAATATCAAACCAACCCAAAATCCTTTGCCTTAAATAGAAGAAAATCTGTTATCAATTTTGATCTCTCTGCTATTTTTAAAACTTATCTCCTTGAGAAGAATTAATTCAAGACTCACAGATTTAAAATCTAGTTGTCAATATATTTGCATAAAAAAATTAATTCAACACTTTTCTCCGAAAAACAGAAAATTAATCATTTTCAGGATTCTGTTTCTAGAAGTTCTTTCTTTCGAAAGTAGAGTAGGATCATCAAATAGTACGACTTACCAGGTGATGGCCATAGAGGATTTTCAATTTTTAATCCTCCGTATCGTTGATTATAACCCAGATGACTTGGTTTCCCATGAAATAGATCGATGATAGAAAATATCAACGACGCTAAACCAATTAGAAGTAATAGAATACCAAATATTAACCCGATACGACCAAATTTTGGTGCTGTATTCGTGTTGTACAACTTATCAGTTGAAAACATCTTTGATTGATATTAGTTGAAAGCAAGATGATATTACTTATGCCATTAATTATATATAGGAATGTAGTCGATTTTTAATCAAAATGTGCGACCGGTATTGTTATGTGTAAAAATAATTTTTAAAAACGTAAGAAGATGGAATATCACATTTTATGGAAAAGAATTGATTTAAACTCGATGAGACACTGTAAATAAGTAGTTTGTTTGAAAAAAAAAGTAAAATTATCCAACCATGACATCGGTCAAACATGGTGAGACTTTTTCATCTTGATTCAAATAAAAATGGTTAGGATATGAAAATAGAGAAACTTTTCGTTTATTGAACTTGTATGGACAGGAAGATAAAAGAAAAGAGGTCAACTTATTGTATTAATATATCTAATGGTGACTGCTCATTCAATATAAAGAAAATTTTTACTTATTTCCAGGTTGATGATTCCGAAGACAAATCTCAGAAAGATCCGACGTCCGAACATGCCGGAATCCGACAGTTCCTGTTGGAATCATGCCGTATTATGTCGGATCTTTACGGATTTCGCTCGGTTTGGCAGAATGTGATCGGTTTTCAGGTGTATGAAGGTCAAAAGTGGCCGTAGATTTTTTATTTCCTATCCTTTTTCGTTTATTTTCTGGTGGCTCCTTTCTCTGCGCATTCGAGAGAGTGTAAGGGCTCACTAGCTATAGCATGCACAACACGTCTGTTGACCAGTGTGAACGATGATTCACACTGTTAAGAATTTGAGAAGAAATTTTCTTGGTTTACATTTTCTGCAATGTCATATTTAAAGTACTGCCAGAACAGTCGATTTGCCGTGACCGGAAATTAACTGATTCAACTAGTTCCGGATATTGGTATCCTACAGGATCCGATAGGAATGGGTTGTGACTTGTTATTTGTGATTTTAGACACATGAATGTCGGGTCCTTGACATGTTATTTATGAAGCAACGCCCGTATCCACTTTTTCTAGGAAGGATTCACTAAATTTTGTTTCATGTAACGGCATCAATGTAAAATATATCTAAAACTACTTTCAACCAAAAAAGGTCAAAATTTAGTTGTTTTTCCTACAAAATCAAACCAAAAATGAGAAAAAATCGTCTAAAATGAGAACAATTGAGATCCTAGAGTTTACTAGGAATATCTAATTAGCTACAGAACAAAATAATTCGATGTTTTGTTCCATTATGAGTTAATGAAGGATTTCTTTCAATACATGAAATACAAAAAACTTTTCTTTATTGCGCACAAATAAGGCAAATGACTCACATGCTTTATGGTAAGGTGCTATTGAGTAGTTTAACGAAACAGTGACTGACTATATGGAATATTGAGAGTAGAATACATTTTTATCAGTATAATAGGGTTAGCGCGAACGCTGACCCTGCGTAATAAATTGAGCTTTCGCCTCGTCCTATGTGAACGAGCACAAACGTCAGTCTGACCGAAGTGCAATGGTACAGACCTCCGTCTGGGAGTTCAGTCTTGGTGTTCACTGAAAGCTCCAAAGCAAAGTAAGTATGAAGCGAGAAGAGGTATTTTGAGTTGCTTATATATGTCTTGAGGGGAAAAATAAAATGGTGAAAGTATACGTGTATGTATTTTAAATTTTTTTTTTCTCTTTCTGTACAACTGTCTGTATATGCAGGTGTATCGTTTGTTCTTTTTCCACATGACTCATCGTAAAAAAAGAGTGATGAATCATTTTATCTACCACATAATTTTTGCAGTAGTATTCAGTGTATTGAAACGTGATATTTAAATACTTAAGCGTCAACTGCACAAAAAACAAATATTAACGTTTTTCCAGCAGATCGTTCTACTACTGTGCAACAGTGGAACTGCGATTGCTAAGAAAAGAAAAAATTAATAATCAGAAGCTATTCTATTCGCTCAAAATTTCTCTTCACTATTAGAGAATTTCATTCTCGTCTAATTGAGATACATCAGGAGCAAACCCAGGAGCGAATCTTTATGAAGAGCTTAGAAATTCAATAAACTTCACTGATTGTAGAGGTTTGTGCCTAATAGCTAACTTTTGCTGTAGATGTTTGTTTTTTTCGTTTATCCGTCTAGCTAATATTCTCATTTATCTGAAACTTCCTAGGATATTTGTACGGCACTAAAGAGTTCTTGAATAAGAAGTTTGAAAAGGAAGTTTAAACGAACTTGAACGAAAGATTTTGGAGTTGGATCGCGCTTTACAATTAAATTAATTAATCTAAACGGGTAGAAATAAACAATTTCAGTTAACAGATCGTTATTATCTACCAGGGTTCTCAGATGTCCCCCATTCGACCGTTTTGTCCCCCACTAAATATATTCCCCATGGGGGACATATTTTGTCGTTCACTAGCAATTATCTAATCGACAAAGATCTATGTCTATTTAACCTATCTTGTCATGAAGCTCATTATCATATAGGTGTTTGGATAGTTTGTAGCAAATAGAGTTATTCTGGGATTCGAGCCGTCTACAAAAACATCGCTCTTTCTGTCGTACGCGTCTCAGAGTTTATTAGATGTGTGATATGAATTTGTGGATAAAATCTAATTTTAAGGAGAAAATCTTTTGTTTGAAATTCGAAAAATTAGCTTTGAAAGAATGAACTCTAAATTAGAACTAGAAGAAACGACCGCTCGTGAGAATGTAGACTGTGCAAGTGAGAAACAAACAGCAACCAAAAAAATTATTGACGACAACAAAAACAAAACTCAGCAGCTTCGTCCCATCCTCAAAACGGCAGTGTAATTTTAGCGATAAATGGTTAAAAGATCCACAATATATTTCATTTTTAAAATAATGTATAGTTGAGTCCATCGGGTATTTTAGATTGTGACGACATTATTTCGTTAAAATAAGCGTCCCCCATTTGCCCCCATTCGGAACTTTCTGTCCCACATTAGAAAAATATAATCTGAGACCCCTGTTATCTACTAAAATCAAATATAGAGCTTTTATCCACTAATCAAATAGAAGATTGTCCACGATTTTCGGAGTAGTGTTGAAACAAAAAAAAACCTAATATCACTGTTCTATACAAAAAACCGAAGAACATACTTCTACGGAAAAAAATGTTCAGAACACTATGACGATGGCCTACAATATCCGCTTATGAAAGAGTAGATTGTCATTCAGAAAGTTCTCATTCACTTCTCAATTCAGATAGATTAGTAGATTTTCCTCCACACTCCTCACGTCTAAGATCGTCATTTGTTATCGCTATTATATAATTTTAGTTTTCTTACGAAACAATAGATCGAGCCTTGACACTTAAGAGACAATTTCAAAATTGTTTACTCCTTTATTTGTTACTTTACTCGTTTTCTATCTTGCTCTTTTACACTTTTACTACTTTTATTTACTGTTTCTCTCTTTTTCGCTTCTACTCTTTTCGTGTGTCTCTTTTTTTGCGTGCGCATTCATATCACATCTTTTAGACATATGGAACTTTGCATAATTTTAGTTCGTTTTATTCGTTGTATAATTGATGCGTCACTAGTTTTTACTCACACAGACTATTTAAAAAGTCAGCATTTGATTCCAAAACAGGGGCACTTATGTATTGAGCTTTCTTAAAAATTGGTGATAGGAGTTGTACTGCTAGAGTTGAAGCAATTGTTCTGTCACTAAAATTTTACTTAGATGCAGTTATTTTTCAGTTCTATGTTCTATTCTTCCTCTTTGTTGAATACTTGAATAGTGTAGGTAGTGAAACGAAAATCGATACCGGAGATACGATACTCAGACAACAGCAGTTGGTGATAGAGTTGATTTTTTAAAGCGTGCATATAAAGTGATTGATACTGCAAGATCGATCAAAATCAGTATGCATGAAATAGACATCAATGAGGCAGTTATTCAGACGACTTTCATGTTAATGAAGTAGACTTGAATTAAAATTAACGATCAGAGATATACCCAATTGTTTTCGATTCAACACACTGACATGCGTATTCACTGAATGTGTCATTAAATCTTAGCTTGTTGGTAGAGTCCATTCTAGAGGTGTGCAGCATAACCCTACCCTACTCTATTAGGATAGGTTAAGGGTACGAAACATTTTTATAGGGTAGGACACAGGTTGAGATGTTTGTTATAGACTATACCCTATGAGATAAGGAACGCTTAGCGCTGAGAGACATTCGCTCCTTTAGTGGTGCATGACTTCGTTATCCATCAAAGAGGATCTATGTCTGTTGTTATTGGATGTGGATGTGGAGTTTTTGAATAAAACTGTAGCTAGGAAAACGAACGTCGATCGCTAAACGAATGATCGCTATTTTACTCCTATTTCTTATGTGTACAGAGTATAGGGTACAAAAAAAACTCGTACCCTGCACATCTCTTGTCCATTCTCCATTATTCCATGTTGAACTTTCGGTTGTACCTCGTTCTGACTGATACTCAAACTCAGTAACACGAAATAATATTTTTGTACTACAGGTCATTAATATTAATCGTGCCACGCAGAATAACAGTTACAATTCTTTGTTTTGGATTTAGACAAGCTATAGTTTATACCGCCAACATTTAGTCTTTGGTAGTTCTACTTTTAAAATTCCCAAACTATTTTTCTCTGATTCTGCATCTAGAACTATAAAAAACTAACTTTGTTATTTCTAGAAACACAAATTCTCTCAAAATTTGCTCAAAATGAGCACAACCGCAGCATTGCTACCGTTCTACTTATCCACTTATTGGGAATAGGAGTTCAAACTAAAATGCTTATTTCATTCTAATTAGTGCCATTCAAAAAATTCTCAGCATCAACGTCTGCACATTTTCCTTCCTTCACTAAGAAAGGAAACTTCCTGCATAAAGCACACCGCATCGCAGAACGACGATACTTTATCTTACTCCGGTACAATCCTTGAAAAATAAACAATAAACAGGACTGAATCTAGACAGCGCAGAACAAAACTCTAAGAAAAGAAAACTTAGAAACGGAATCCTAACACACTTCCTTTATCCAAACACCCACACAAAAAGAACCACCACATATCTGATATAAATAAGAATAAACCACACATACGAGCCCATCATACTAGGTGTCGCATGTATGTAATCGCCTTATGGCATCCTAAATCGATTTTACGGCCGTTTACGGGCCGTGTTGAATCACTTGGGAAACCTAAAAAGCAACCACACTGATCCTCTACAATTATCCGCATAAACAAATCACATAAACAAGGCATGAAACCAAATCTCCCTTACCTTTACGAAACCTAAATTTAAGGGAACCAGAGGAAGAAGATTTTAATCTGATGGATTTAGAAGTTCACTAATCTCAAATTCTTGTGATGAGAACATTCGATAAACACACAGCGAGCTCTTTCAATATACATATATTTAGACTTTTGATCCAGATAATCTGTTCTGAAACTGACAATCTTTTCATCAGGAGAAAAGTCTAAGAACCAGGAGATTCGACAACCTGTATAAGACTGGATTGTTCGGAAAAAGTTCGTGATGAAAATTTGGATAGGTAATTTTTTGGATCTCGGATTTTGTACTTACCTTTTCAGAGAAAAAGTGTTTCAGATACTCAAATCACATTTTAAATTTCTCTTTTGCTTTCATAGACGCGAAAAAGACTTTTTTTGACAACTATCCTATTAGGAGGTATTGTTCATCGCTTTACAATATTTGATCAGATGTCCCAAAAGCTTATAAGATCGTGTTATAAGACAACAGATTCTGCAAGACTTTGTATCTGAGTTTATTTTAATCTTGCACAGTAAAATTGACACTTAATAGTTATTTGTTTTTCTGCATCATTGATCGAAATACTGAATTGACAGAATTCAAAAATTTTTTGATTTAGAAACCAGAATGAATATTTTAAATTAAGATCGAATTACGGCGTAATGACGGCTAATTACGATTGTAGCTACTAGCATCATTTCCAGCCAGACTATAGTTTTATTGGCGTAATTACGCCGTAATCTATAAAAAATCGGGGAGATGGGATGTACGTATTCCATTAACATAAATGGAAACTGATAACACACTGTGACAGAAAATACATCACCAACTCAATGACGTTCCTATTTTAATGCACTTTATGATCTTTCCAAATAGTTTTGAACCTTTAGTACTATCTTGATTCACTATTTTAAGATTACTGTCGAACAGAATGACGACGATATCTTCGGTTACACGAGAAAAAGAAGAGAAAATTTATCAAATTTTCTGAAGTAGAGAGCTATGTAGAGAACTATGTGCTGCTTCTGTCCTTAATTCGTCTTCATTTAACTTATTAGTCACTAATTTAACCGGGTTCGATTTCTGTTCAATTTATTCAGGTGCTAACACCTTAGCTGGGCCCTCATTTTGGGCTTTCCGTAGAAATGCTGTGAAATAAAAGCTAAAACTCACTAAGACTTCATATTTTCAGAACTGATTTGAAACTCAATGGAGCACTTTTTCGTTTTTATTTCAAGTTTCTAACTATTGCCGTTCATCAGTTTTCCAGAAAATTCGATTTTCTATTGTATCACATTACGACGCCCCTTGAATTTCATTCGATCTAGTTAAAAATTTTACCAGAGGTATTCTAGGTCATAGTGCAGACATATAATTTTAGAATTTTATTTTAGACCCTTCTTTACCGACTTATACGGTTTTTAAAATTTAAATACTTGATTTTTGAAAGTTTTTCGGTATTTTCCCTATAGTTCGGTAAAGAAAGGTCTAAAATAATATTCTAAAATTATATCTCTGCGCTACGACCTAGAATACCTCTGGTAAAACTTTTAACTAGACCGGATGAAATTCAAGGGGTGTCGTAATGTGATACAATAGAAAATCGAATTTTCTGGAAAACTGATGAACGGCAATAGTTAGAAACTTGAAATAAAAACTCAGTTTTTATTTCACAGCATTTCTACGGAAAGCCCAAAATGAAGGGAGCGATACCCTTAGAAAACGCGATACAAGTAAATTATGATTATGAGCCGTGAGAGTTCTCAATTGTTAATCCATTAGAAAACTCGTATATTCACAGTGCGCGTACCGAGCATGACATGATTTTCTCTCTCTACAGCTCACCAGTAACATGTTTATCTGACATATATGATAAAACTCTAAAAATGGTACATGGTGCGCATTGTACACGTGACAAGCATGTTGTACAGTAAATACGCATGCGTACGTCATGCACACGTTGTGTACAGAGCATGACATAAGCGTACGACGGGCGTACCTGGACATTTTTCCTATCACTATCCACAGTATTCCATACTGACCTCTAGCAACAATCAAACTAAACTAGCATCTAGAAAAACTCCTTTATCATATATTCTTGAAATAATATTGATACAAAAACGAATTGTTGCAAAAATAAAAACATTATAGAACTACTTTAAACATGTCTTTCCTCACATTAAGATCAAGTTGGTTAATGAGACAAAGGAATTCAATCCAATTTTTACCCATTTATAACGACCTCGTCATTCGTTCTGTTCTATTGTGTTCATGCACCTAACTCATCCATCTGTGACACTCTCTTGGTGGTTTCTTATTCTTGCGTGATAATTATTATTTGGCAAATTTCTCAGTTTGAGCTTACAATGGAGTAGATCAATTTTGTCTTCATTTTTGTTCTTATTGTATGGTACTCGTATTTTAAGAATTATATTTTTGTGACGTATATTAGTAGTACGAGTCCTGAACGAGATTTGTGAAGTCGATGTAAACATTTATTCTCCGATTGTACTACATATGAGTCTCGCAGAACTGTTCACGCCATTTCCACATAGTTGATCATTAACACTTGTGATCTGATTAAATGATCACATATCATTTAACTTCTCTTTTGTAGTAATGCACAATGTATACTGGCTTTTTTCATAATTCTCAGTATCAGTTTTCTGCTTTGTTTGTACGTATTTATTTTTATTTATTTTTTTTCGGATTTTTTAGCATAACAATTCGCCATCTACATTTCATTAGTTCATCATGTCGAAAGAGAAGTACGTTGAAGGTGACTTGTCTAAACTGTATTTGAGAACTTTTTATTTCTTCTTTAGAGCAGATATTGGACTTATTGGATTGGCTGTAATGGGTCAAAATCTCATTTTAAACATGAATGATCACCATTTTGTGGTATGTTACTTTATTTGTAGAAAAAATCCATGATACTATCGCTATGATGACAGTTCATGCGCGTCATCTGAACGATATGATGATTGCTTTAACATTCCATTCATTTTGTCTGAGCGATTTATTACTTAATGAGATATCAGAGTGATTTTTTTCTCTCAAAGAATGATAATTAGAACTTTGATTTTCTTTTTTAAGGTTGCTTGTTTTAATCGTACAGTATCGAAAGTCGATCGCTTTCTTGAAAATGAAGCAAAAGGAACACACATACTTGGAGCACATTCAATTGAAGAATTAGTTGAAATGTTAAAAAAGCCAAGACGCGTCATGTTACTTGTACAAGCTGGAAAAGCTGTCGATGAGTTTATTGAAACATTGGTAAAAACACGAAGAGATTGTGTCGTCTTTTGTTTACTCTGATCCGTTTGTTTTCTACATTTAGATACCACTTTTAGAAAAGGGAGATATTATTATCGATGGTGGCAATTCGCTGTATAGAGATTCAATGGTTAGAAATATTAACTAATTTTTTTCTACAAGTGTCTTTTTTTTCGAGTTAAAATTTAATTTTACTGACTTTCATTGACTGACATGAGATCGAAGTATTTTTATTTATATTAACTTCTATTTTAGCGTCGTGCAGACTATTTACAATCAAAAAATTTATTGTTTATTGGTACAGGTGTTTCAGGTGGCGAAGAAGGAGCACGTAATGGACCATCATTGATGCCTGGTGGTCATGAAGAAGCATGGTGAGTATCCTGTTATTCAGATGATGATCTCCTGAATGGGGGCATTTTACATGTATAGTAGATTGATGGTAGATGAAGGTAAATGAACTAACTTCGATAATATTACTGGAATTCTACTATAGTATCAAACAAAACATCGTTAACTCTGACACGACTACCTGGGATCCACTCGGACCCCAGCCAGTTTGATTTTCTTGCTATATAAAGATAACACGTTATCAAATTTTGTCTCTTTCGATATGTCCTAGGAACACTTAGTGGCGTACGCTGATGGCAACAGTGGGTCAAATAGAACCGTTGTTTATATGATTGAGTAGCTCAAAGTACATGTAAACGCTTGTTGCCCACGTGAGGTCCGCCCAGGCCCCAGCGAGGTTCATTTTAATGTTATGCATCTATAGCATTAAATCGAACTTTGTCCTTTTAGATACACCTTAGGGACACTTAGTCGAGTACGCTGGTAACATCAGTCAATCTTATTCAGTTGTCATTGATGTGATGAAGCAGCTCAAAATACGTGGGTAAATGGATATCCAACCACTTTTTGAAAAAGGGATTTTTCGTGCTAACTAAGTGGGAAGTGGTCAGAAAACAGCTGTGGCAGAAAAAATTTGCCGACTTTCACCTAAAATGGTGGATATTCTGATGGTTTTCTAGGAACATCTAAAGTAGGCCCACAGGTGATTACAAGCATTTGAGCTCATATTTTGCCCATTAGTAGGGAACCACTAGATTAGCACAGCCTCCAAAGGATTCTTTTTTTTATTAAGCTTTGACCGAGATATGAATGTTTCAAAACACAGTATTTGTATAAAATTATAAAAATATGAATATGGGAAATGCCTGTGTTTTGAAACATTCATATCTCGATCAAAGCTCAATAAAAAAAACAATCCTTTGGAAATTGTGCTAATCTAGTGGTTCCCTACTAATGGGCAAAATATGAGCTCAAATGCTTGTGTACCTGTGGACCTTCTTTAGATGTTCCTAGAAAACCATCAGAATATCCACCATTTTAGGTGAAAGTCGGCAAATTTTTTCTGCCACAGCTGTTTTCTGACCACTTCCCACTTAGTTAACACGAAAAAAAAAGTCGAAAAACCCCTTTTTCCAAAAAGTGGTTGGATACCCATGGATTTACCCAATGGTGAATATGCGATACGTATTTTGAAACGATAAGTAAAATTCAAATTTAATCGCTTTTGTGTTTGTTCTTTTAACTGTCAAGACTCCTCGAGAGCCTTCACAGTTACATTATAAAATAGTAATAGTTTCATGTATTATTCCTGTTTTATCAGCTAGACAAGAAATGGTTGTCCTAAAGGTGGTCGTGTCAGGGTTAAAAGAGAGCGGTAGTGTTTCTTACAAATGAGCAACTTTTCAGAATAACTACATCTTCATAGAACTTGTTCCAGATGTTTGATCATATATCGCTTTTAATGAAACGGTAATCAATACTACTCATGGACATGATTCACAATGAAAACAGTTTAGACTATTAGACGTTGTTTTTAGAATTTTATTTAACATATTTGTTCGTTATATCTTTACATTACTCTATATTGTATAATGGAATCATGTTTATTTTTTGTGTTATAGGCCACATATCAAAGATATATTTCAGTCGATTTCAGCCAAAGCCGATAATGAACCATGTTGTGATTGGGTATGCATGTGTATTTCCTTCAAAATTAACAGAATGCTTTTTATACGTTTATTTCTTACTCTTCTTAGGTAGGTCCATCTGGTTCTGGTCATTTTGTTAAAATGGTTCATAATGGTATTGAATATGGTGATATGCAGTTGATTTGTGAAATTTATCAAATTATGAAAGATATATTGGGTATGTCAGAAACAGAAATTGCTGATGTAAGTAAAAGTTATAGTTTTCTACGGTATAGATCTATTACGATCCTCCATTTTTGTTTAGACATTTACAACATGGAACAAAGGCACATTAGAATCATATTTAATTGAAATAACTGCCAATGTATTAAGATTTAAAGAAAAAGATGTATTTATACTTGACACAATACGAGATGCGGCTGGACAGGTATTTACTAAGTTAAAAGACTTTGGCTTAGATGTTTAAATCGTCCCTGATTCGATTATGCTAACTGTTTATTCGTTTTTGTTTGTGCTTACAATTCTACTCTTCGTATTTCAGAAAGGAACAGGTAAATGGACCGGTATCGCTTCACTGGAATATGGCGTACCAGTAACACTAATTGGTAAGAAGAATCTGTTTATTTTTATTGTTTTTTATTTATTTTGTTTCGTCTTTAGGTGAATCTGTGTTTGCCCGTTGTTTATCATCATTGATTGATGAACGTGCTCGTGCTTCAAAAGTTTTAAAAGCTCCAAATGTCAAAAAATTTGATGGTGATCGAAAACAATTTATTGAATATTTGGGTCAAGCATTGTATGCATCAAAAATTATTTCTTATGCTCAAGGTTTTATGTTGATGCGTGAAGCAGCTAAACAATACAATTGGAAATTAAATTATGGTTCAATAGCACTGATGTGGAGAGGAGGATGTATTATAAGAAGGTAAACAAATACAAATAAATCTTGAAAATATTATAAATAAAGATCATCATCTTAATGATATATTTTTAAAATTGATCATTTTTTCTATTTAGTGTATTTCTTGGCAATATTAAAGCAGCGTATGACAATAATGCATCGTTAGAAAATTTATTATTAGATAATTTTTTTCAAGATGCAATTAATAAATGTCAAGAAGGATGGAGAAAAGTAGTTGCTACTGCTGTTGTCTATGGTATACCAACACCATGTTTAAGTACAGGTACGTTGAGAGTAAGAATAAAATTTTATAAAAGTTATATTTTATTCTCTGTTATTCTAATTTTCTAGCATTATCATTTTTTGATGGTTATCGTTCTAAACGATTACCAGCCAATCTTATACAAGTATGTATTATTACTTTCTTTTATCATTTCGTATTATAGTAGTAGTAGATAAAAGATTTTTATCAGCCTATATTTCAGAAACATGACAGCTCTTAATTTGAAAGCTTTGTGTAAATGTTGTTTGAACAATATGCTGATCATTCGTCAGGTTTTGGACTGTTAGGTTTTATGATCCTTGAGATGTCTCATGTTAACTCTGTTATCACTAAATAATTAGAACACTGTAATTATATGTCGATTTATCTATTCCTTGGCTACTGAAAATAGAATACTATGCATTGAGAGTTATATTTAAAGTTTGCACGGAATTTTCATGATTATACTTTTGTATGAACACATATTTATAACTTTAGAAAAAGAGACTAATGACTACTCAAGTTTGCTATCTTCCAGATGTTTCATCATGATTTATTTATATTCGATCGAAATTGGTCACATTGAAATCTTCTGTGAATAATTTACAAACATTAGAGACTATTTTCTGAGTTAACAATTTAAAGCTAAAGAATAATGTTTTTGGGTCAAGTTGTGACTATCGTTTCCAAAAAAAGTCTCGAAATACATGTTATTATGCAAAAATAAAATGTATATTTTACTTGATTCTAATGATAACACAGTCAATATGAGATATCTCAAGAATCATAAGAGTCAAATAATCTGAAACTTGAAGTTCCCTAGTCGTGCTCATCATGTTTTTCGACAACACATAAAAACCGTATGAATTTTTGAAAATCTTACTGTCTAAATAATGTAAAGTCAAAAAAATGTACTGATATTTGAACGGTAAGACTGAGTAAATGTTATAATTCTAATATTTAGACTGATAGATTGTTGATCTGCGATTCGAAGTTATAAGATCATGCTATACGGTACGGTAGTAAAATACACACTCTTATTAAAAATATATGTCATTTTGATTTACGTAAAGAAAGGATATCATAGTTCAGATCGTTATTGATTTGTTTGTAACCTGCTCATAATTAGTTGTTGTTGTTGTTTTTTTTTGTTTTTTTGAAGATTCTGATCATTGTTCTGTTTCACTTTAGGCATTACGTGATTATTTTGGAGCTCATACATACGAATTATTAGATTCACCCGGCACATTTCATCATACAAATTGGACAGGACATGGTGGAGAAGTATCAGCATCAACATACAACAATTAAAAATACTGTTATATTTTATCTATTTTCTTTTATTTAATTTTAACGTATAAGCATATAATGATCGTTAACAACATTTTTTTTTTTTCGTCTTTATTTTAGTTCATTACGCAACTGTTTTCTATTTAAAGCAGTACTATTCACCTTCTTAATTATTTTTAACATTTTTTTTTTCTTATACTTTTTCCTCTTGTTTCACCGGTGACAGAGTTTTCTTTAGTGGAAAACTTCATCATGGTTTGTAGCAAAACAACAGATACACGGCTATTTTAGTTAGAATCACCACAAAATCGAAATAAACGACCTTTCAACACTTAACTTTATAACCTGTATGCATTTCGTAGTTGAACATATTTACTGATGCCGTAGTAAAGAATCAATTTTTTTTCGGTCATTTAATGAAATATTTTGTATCTGACGTTGGATAGAAATAATATGGAGGCAATAATTGTCGGTGATTAGTAGAGTAGACGCTTCATAAAACGAAAATCATCGTATAACAGCTCATTTTCGGTAGTAAAGTTTTTATTGAAACTAACATTTCATTTATTTATTATTAAAATCAACTACTAACCATTTACAATTTGATATAGAGCTAGAAGTTGAAATTATACTTTTGTCATTTTTGATCTTAAATAATACATCGTTATAAAATCTCAATATATAGAAATATGTCAGTCCTAATGACGGAAGGAGAAGCTGTTGATGATGTACTAAAAGTCGATGAAAAGTTTGACAAATCTCAACGTCAATGAAAAAAAACCATTCTAATTATGGTGGGAGATTGTCTGGTGATAATGCCTTAAGAATGAATAGAATTTTGAGTTATCTGAATGTTTAATAATCGTAAGTACAAGAAGATCGGATAAAATCAGATACAGATATTCTAAAAGTAAACTGCCATTTCACAATTTTACTAGTTTTGTGATAAAATTAGCACTAAAAAAACACTTTCTTTTCTTATCTAGCAAACAGAATTTAAATCTTAAGATCACTGAAGAGCAATTGTATACGAATCGTATGCTGATAACAAATTTTTTATCTACTCTACTAAATAAACAGCGTGTACTCAACATGATGCTAATTCTTCCTTTCTCATCATCTTTTCTAAGATGCGTCGTTCACTCAGAACATTTATTTAAGAGATTCGAAAGATTTTTTTGAGCACATTGAAGCCTAGTTAATTCAACACATAAAAAACAATTGTTTGGTCTAAGATTTTTCCAGGTAAAACTTCCTTTTTGTTTGTATCTTTTTCTTTAATATTACTACATAGGAGCAGAGCTGGAATCGCAACCGGGCTGGTAGAGACCGGTATTTCACCGGTTGAAACGTTTTAAAACATCTGCTCTTTTTACCCTGTTTTTCGTTAAAAAACTGAAATTTCACGTCTTTTTCAGTCAGCATAAATAAGACAGACGATGCTCAAGACATATTATTTTCATCACTTGTTTTAAGATTAAATATTATAAACTCGTTATTGTGAAGGTTCTCTCACATGTGCTCACAAACTGTTTCATTTCTAGGGAAATTCTTACTGAAAATTGATTTTCGAAAAACTTTCTCAGTTTTTCGCCTGTTTAAGTTATAATTCCAACCAGTCGGATCGAACCGGTTTCAGCTCTGAATAGGAGTAGTATTTTATTTCATTAAGTCATAAATAGTAGAAAAATAAATTTAATCACTGAATAAAAAAGGTATAGAATCAAGAAATCAGAATAAATATTATTCACACATAACTTGAAACGCATATTTGAATTCTGTCTATTCAACATTTTGATCAGTGACAAAATTAAAAAAACTCCAGCTGTGTGCATGACATTTGTCAAAAGTATTATTTATAACTATTGTTATTGAATTCAATCAAATAGAAAAATAAAAATAAAATGCTTTTCTTCGAATAGATTCTATTCTAATTTACGATATGCAATCCTATTTTACCTTCGATATTTAATATCTGACATTTTTTTTGATATAAAAAACCAGAAATTTTTTAGTTTCATTTTCTTTATAACAAGGGGAGATCAGAGGTTTTTTATGTGTAGAGAAAATATATCGAATTATATTTTATTATATGAACTAGTAATTAATTATACTCCTATAGAAAATGTCACCATGAGAGAGTTTTAGCATCTGAACGAAAGTCTCAACACGCTTGAAAGATAAATTAGTTGAGAGATTCGCAAAAAATTTTGATAAACCGGCTAGAACGAGTTATCTCGAACGTATATGAATATGTACACGAGGAT